AACTATTAAATTGGTCAATCTTATATTCTATAAAAAGTTATTAATATGTATAAGTGTTTAATTTTAATATTATTTTAATTTTTTTTCTCTTTGTATATATATATATATATATATAAAAGAGTGCGAATATTTTTCTATCAACTTTAATATCATAAACTATACTCATTTTACAAAGTAAAATATTCAATGAAGTTTTTTAGAGTTTCTTATGTGTACTTTTTAAGATTAAATTATTTTTAGAATTATGTGTAAATTACATTATCTCTTTCATTGTAATAATTTTATTTTTACTAACTTTTTTTTTTGTTAATTTTGCTCTAAATTTTAGAAATTAAAGTTGCTACTTAATTTCCTCTTATTATTTTATATAAATTTTAGATTATATTTTTGAAAATTTAATGATTTAAATAAATTTATTATATATATATATATAAATAATTATTATAAAAAATAATTTTTATTTAATTATTAATTTATATATTTATTTTAAAATAAAATACATGTCTATTATATTGACTACTAGTATCTAATGAGTAAACTTGTGATTTTCCTTTTACGTGGAAATATTCATGTATCTGGTTAGATAAGATAGAAAAACAATAAAAGTGAAAATCAATAACATTTTTAAAACTAAACCATTCATCGATTTGGTGAAGACATTAATTTATAATTTATTGGAGTTAATTGTTGTTGATTTGCATTAAATAAGTCTTAATTAAAGATAAATGCTTGATATTATATAATATATTAAGTAATAAACTAATAAAATTATAAATAAGACAAATTATGTAAAATTTTAAATTAACATAAACTGATAAAAGAATCATATTACATATTTTATAAGATGAAAAATTTGCAACATATAGTTAAATGAAAGGTCAATATGTAAATATGAGATGCTATTTATTTTTTAAATTTAAACCAAAATAATTCTTTAACAAAAGAAAAAAATATTGATCCAAAGTTTAAACAAATCACTGTAACTGACTTTTATCTAATTCTGATTAAGTTCTCTGACTCGTTGATATTCCAAACAGGTCAGTTGGTTAGATTCTGGTCCAACCAACAGATTCAGTCTGCTTAACAATAATCCAAATTAATTTATTTAATCATGAAAATTAGTTTTAACTTCATTAGATAAACGTACGTTAATTTAGGTAATTTGTAGGCTTAAGTTTAATTTGAGTTTTAAAATTTAACCCACATCAAATAGTAATAAGTCTTAAGAGCACCTTCAATGGTGCAACGATTCCATAAGCAAAACCACGCTCTCTTACTTGCTTTTCCTATGGGACTCACTAAGTTTGCTTCTTTTCTTTTTCAAGTTTGATATTGTTGCTGGTTGACCAAAAAAAGTTTGATATTGTTGCTTCTATAACCAACAATGTCTCCATGTGTCTCCTTTCCTTTTTAAAGAAACATGCCAAAAATCACCATTAAAAGTGGTCTAAGGTGAGTTGACCATCACAAAAAGTTCAATACTAAACTTATTTTTATTTGAACTCAAGTTCGATATTGATTATGACTTGTAATATTTACCATTCTTTTTTCATAGTAATTAATTTGAATGTTTTCTTATGATATACTTTTTGTCTGTTTCACATACACTTAAAACTATTTCTTCTCAACATGACACGTTTTAATATAAGATATGTGGTTGAGATTAATGTGCATTTTAATTACGTTCAATGATTTAAAACTATTTCTATTAAAATTAATTTTATTTAACAGTAAAATTTGAAAAATTGGTTAAGATTAGGTTAAATCAGTCAAGAACAGGCTAAAATTGATCAATGCTATTATGAAGTACCAATGAATTGTTTTTGAACCAATCTTCTTATAATATGATTTTTTTGCTCTTTTTTATTTTTCAAATGTTTAGTTCTAAAACGTTTTTCTGATAAATAAAGGTTCATATATACAATATGTGTATATGAATTGGTATTATTTAACTATTTAACATAATTTTTTTTATCTCGTAAAGCATATAATATTATCTTTCTATATTAATCTAAAATTTTATTTAACATATATTTTTTTAGAATTTTACCTTAATATGTTATTTAATTATCACTGGTTCAATCATAATTAAATCATTAAATATCATATCAATATTTTCATTAGTTCAATCATCAGTCTAATTTTAAAAATATTAATTAAAGGACATTATCGTGAATATAACATTTAAGGTAGGACTAATCACAACCTTGTTTTTTCTTTTTATAGAAATGCTAACTTAAGGAATCGACAGTGTTTTTATTTATTTATTAAAGAATATTATTATTATTATAATATTTGTTTACCATGACTAATGCACTCCAATACAGTTTTTAATAAAATTTTATTTATTTATTTTTCAACTAGTATAATGAAACATTAGTTAGCAAAGAACTTTTTTTATGATTACAAATGTGTCGTATTAAAGTTATAGTAATAAAATTACAGTAATACAGGATTAAAGAAATGATAATATTTTTCTGTAAAGTCTATCAGAAGTTATTTCTAATAATTTGCTCATTAATTCTGAGAAAATGAACACTCAAAACCCAAAGAATGACAATGCTGTCAAATTTTAATGCTTGCTTTCCCATGATATGGTTTTGATTCCGAACCCTCAAAAGTTCAGTAACTAATCGACCAAATGTATTTTTGTCCCATGAGTCCCCCGAAAAGCCATCTTACTAATATGTATTGTCTAAGTACCAAAAGTGGCCGAGTTCAATGAAGAAAATGATAAGTTTGGTTTTTTCCATGTTCTATACAGTGTATTTGGATATGCGTTAAAACATGGGATACGATTGAGTCACCACAATTATTCATATCGTTGAGAGTAAATATAAGTTTATTTTTATGTCTGTGTTTTAGATTCACGTAAAAAAAATAGCTGCCCATGTTTTTGCATCTATGAGAATTTTTCACATTAAAGCAAAAACTATATTGTGTAGCATATGTTAAACGTACATATTTTATAAGCCGAACATGATTTTAAACACACTATAATTAGTAATATCAAAATACATGTGATTTTGTTTTCAATTAAATGCAAATTCAAACACATATACTAAGGTGTTGAACCAAACGTGCCTTATACAATTTGAGTTTTAATGGAGAAAAGAAAGGGATCATATGTAGGTAACTTTCTTACTTTTAAATTAGTTCAGAGAAAGTGCTGGTAAGCTTTTCTGATCTGACTGCCACCAATGTATATCTCATAAAGCAGTGGTTTGGATGTGAATGAGATTCTTCATTCTCATTTTGTTCCTTCCTTCTATTTTAATTTGTTTTTTTAAATCCACCCTCCAAGTCAAATTACTAATTAGAATTTGGTGTCTTTGACTACTATATGATATAGTGCCACTCATTTTGGAAGGAACACAAGTGTACATACATTTCTAAAACTATCTTAGTTTGTAAAATGTTGAAAGGAAATCACAGTAAGCATCCAAAATGAACAGCATCTCCACTTTGAGCATCTATATAGTGATTGAATGTATTCATCTCTACTTGGCTCTTCAGCTCCAGTTTTCATATAACAGTGTCCCTCACATATATGTTGTCTTTGAGTGGATAAAAATTGCACCTTTCTATGTTTACTCCAATTAAGGGCTGTGCATATGCCAACACTAGATGCTCACAATTCTCAGATGGAAGTCAAAACCCCTTCTAAAAAAATTAAACCAATTTAGTGAGAGAATCCTTATGTTTAATATTAATTATCTAATTGCTTTTGGTTTTGCCTGTTCGGAACAATATATAGTTTATTCTAATCTTTGGTATGAGCAATGCTAAACCACACAAATTAGAGTGCTGCCTTTTTCCTCAGTGATTCGTATAAGGAATTCTAGAGATCTAGAATTCACAATCGCATATTATGGGTAAAGATTAGATATGCACGTAAAGATATAAGCAAAATAAAAGATATCCATGTGCATGGAAAAATCTTCATCATATGGGCAGAGAATATTATGTGCATATTGATGGGCTGATGGCACTTTGGGCACTTTTTTTAAGTTCTAACACCAAAGGAACCTTTTCAATGTATAGTACTTGTAAGAAGGTACATATGTACGTGGAATATGTCAAGTGTTACTTAAGGCCTACTAGTCTTCTGTTCCCTACAACTTATTACATACCATATTTGTCAAAAACAGAGAAACTTTTAGTAAGTTTAATTTTTCCATTAGAAACCATATCATTACCAACATATATTATGGTGGTCTCCCAAAGGATGATTAAGTTAACAATTTATTTGCTTTAATGTAGGATTAAACTATTAATGCTAGGTGTTCCCTCTCCTTTTTGCTAGTGCACCCACTAAGGGCATTCCACATTCAACTCTCTTCTTGCTCTCTATTTGAATTTATCTGTAGCCCACTTTCGATGTCTGTCTCCATCCATTGACTAAGAAAAGTGACGAAAGCCTAAATGTGAGGTCCATAAGCAAAATTCCACTATAAGGTGGTGATTGGTACCACGGAAAAATTGAAATCTACGAGAAGGTTTCAGCAGCTTTCACTACCTATAATTCATGTGAATGTGGTTTTCGGTATTAAAGCAAATTAAAATTGTCCTTATAACATGAACCATATATTAACAGGGAATTGAAAATAGACAAGCACCTACAATAAAGTGTGTGCCAGTGGTGCGACTCATTGATCATGGCAAAAAATTAACAAAAAAAAGTAGAAAATTGAAGTAGGTTGACTGATAGGGAAAAGGTGGACAAACTTAAAGGGATAACTGATTTTGAGCCATGCAAGGAAATGTTGGTAATGTGCACATGCAATCAATTTTTGCTATGTTTGTCTTTTCTTAGATGCAATAATATTATATAGTCACATAGAATAGTACAGTTGACTTAAGTGTTGTGGGCTAAAGCCTAGAAGTTATTGCATTTCACCATATCACTATGTTGCTATTGGGTGGGGTACACCATGAGAAGAGCTCTCTAGTTGCCATATTTAAAAGGGGATGCTCCTGCCTACACTTCCCTGCCAAGACACGTATATGTCATGTTCTTTGTTCCAATCTAGCTAGTTGCTCATAACAAGAGGACCTATATACACACCTTCATACTTGTCATGGCTCTCAAGATCAAGTCTTTTCTTATAGTTCTTCTCTTGATCCTCATTCCCTTATCTTCAGGTGAGCAAGTTCTTTATATAATTTAATACAATCAAACGATTAACTCATGATCCATGTAACATAAAATTTTTCCTTTTAGGTTTGGCTGAAGGCTTCAGGCAAAATATGCATCCTACTCATAACTTACTTTACAAGGTATCCTATACTATATGTTTGTTTTATTTTAATTAGATGACAGAGAATGGACGTTTAAGCCCTAAATAGTTAGAAGAAAAATGTTATTAATACACTTTTTTACAGCATTCTTTGATAAAAACTTTAAAAATTATGTAAATCTCATGTTTAACTTAATGAATTTCACTGTCTCACTGTAAATTTCAACCAATATTCAAAAGTATACTAGATAATGTGTTGTCATGACTGCTCTTCTTATGGAGCTACATTAAGGCCTTGCTTGGGTTCGTAATGTGGCATACAGTTTCCACAACGATTTGCAGTAAGAAAATTGGAAAATATTGTGTATTATTTCAACATTTGATGTCTAGATATGGCTCCTTTTTCATCTGACAAGTATTTTTCATTTTGGTTTTGAATGAAGGATGGTATCAAGGTGAACTCAAGGAAGCTATTTGTCCATGATTTTATGTTGGATTATGATGAAGCAGGACCCAACCCAAGGCATACGAAGAAACCTGGCAAGGGGCCTTGAATAACACTATAGCTAACTATAAAATAAACCTATATACTATAATCTCTCTTCCCACTCAAAATGTTTTGTTCGTGTATGAAGAGACATATAAACGAGTTTCTTCATCGGAGCCACTATTTGTGTGTGTTATGAGACTTATGAAGCAATAAGTATGATATTTTATTATGTACACCACATGCGTATGTATGTCTATGGGCTATGAACCATCAAATTGATAATGAAGTCTTATCATTTACTTTCCAATAAGCAATGCTATTACTGATTATAATGTATTAAAGTTCTATTGTTCATAGGATCAAAACTTGTGTATGAGTATTGGACTGAATTAATAGACGAAGTTTGTTTCATCTCATATAATAACATAAGAGACTAATCAAGAAGGAAGGAAGGACAGAAAGAAGTAGAAGCGAAATCGATTTAAATATACTTTTATTTTTATATACGACACTTATTTTAATTTCATTTTTATATTAAAAAGTTTTTAATATAATTTCTATAAGTTTAATTGTTTAACATAATTTTTGCTATTTATTTCCTTTATAACACTGAAAATATCATGAATTTCAAATAAAAAATTACTTATAGGGATATGAAGAATGTCTCATTTTCAATTTTTATACAAAAAAATTAATTTTTAATCTGTTCCCTGCTCTTTACTGTATTATAACAACCATTAACAATATTTTAACAGTAAAATTTGCAGAATTAATAATAATTATACTATAATTTTTAAATTAAAAAATATTACTTACAATGAACAAAAATATATTTTCAATATCTGAACAAAAATAAATAATTAACCTAGCATGATAATTAATTTTTTTAACTTATAGTAGCAAGATATAAATTAAATTTTTTACAATGAACAAAAAATCCTTCAATGCTAATTAATTACTTAATTAGGTCATATTTGATCATTATGTCACTCTTTTCTCTTTCTTATTCACAGTCTAGGTAAAAAGTACAGAAAAACATTAATACCTATGCTTTTAACTGAGAAAAGTTGCTCTTATAATGCATTGGAACCATGGAACACACAAATTTTCTCAGGCTGCTAAGTTTATCTTCTCTCAATTATTTGTCCTAAACCGATGCTGATTAAATAACAAAATGAATTGAGAACAGCTACATATTATACAATGTTCTTTTCATCTCATCGCTCTAAAACTTTTCTGATCCAATAATATGTATTTTGCTTGGACTTGAAAATTAATTGAAGGCACACAGCCAAGTTTTGGAGGGGATTGAGTTTCCCTGCCCCAACTCAAGCTTGACCCTCATTTAAGAAAATCATACCATTTTTAGGAACCTAAAATCAACCTTAAGAATTGATGTTGATAATTTTTAAATTTTTTTTTTTTAACAATTTAAACTTATCATACGGGTGAGTTAAATAGACTAGAGTATGTTTAATGAGAGAAATGAAGAATTTATAAATGAGTTTTGTTAACCTTAATTCTTAAAGCAGGATAGATAACTAATAATAATAAAATTTTATTAAAAAAATTATTGTATTTTTATAACTTTAATATAATAATTGTGTATTTTTTTATTAAAAAAATTTATTTGTAAATGTTTAAACTCAATCCTAAATATTGAAGTTAACAAAACTCTTTATAAATTACTCAACTAGCTTATTTAATAAATAATAATATGAATAAACTTTCTAAAGGTGTTTAGTTAGGGAGCTTTTTTAAAAAACAAAAGTTAGTAACTTAAAAATTCTAATTTGATACATTGATAGAAGTATCAAATGACTAACAATTTACCAGTTGTACTATTTTTTTAAAATTTTATTCTTATTAATTTAAAAAATGACAAATTTTACTCTTTCCTAATTATATGTGCATACTTAGTCATTTTGCTATTTAAATTTTTAATGTAATACACTTTACCTACTACTAATAATAAATTTATATATAAATTTATTAATTTTTTAATGCTATATACTCTTAATGTGTGTTAATTCAAATAATACACGATTAATTTTTTTTTAAAACGAAGTTTTAGTTCTTGTTGGAAAAACTCATCCTTACTCAGCTAGAATTATCTCATATAGAAAATAGGCATTATTTATACCAAAAGTTACATTAACATGTCATTTTAAATATATCAAATAGTTAATCAATTAATTTTTCAGTCACCTTCAATTCAACTAATTGACTTACCACTTTTAATGTTCAGCTCCTAACCTTTCAATGCCTAAACTTTTTAACTAATAGCAAACTTTCCAATTAGATATTTCAAACAAATTATAGGCAGATGTGTCTACATTTAAATAAACTTGTTAGTTATCTAGTAGAGTTGCCCATCAAACAAGCTAACGTGAAAAAATTGTGATCGATTTATCAATCTGTACTAATATATCAGCGTCAAAGAATGTTAAATTTGGCTTTCCAATTCCTCTAGCTGATATACCGTTTCGTAAAGAACTTTTAGACTAAGGAGGAAAAAAAGTTAGGTTCCTGATGTTTCTAATTGAGTAGGTGGATGCACTGTTTGACAAATGCATTTTATAAAATTGACAATGACATCATACTTCCTCTTCCTTAATTTGGTCAAATAGAGTTCAGTTTAAAAGCTAATATGTTCTACTTCCCATGATGTCGAAAGCCACTAATCCAATTTATTTTGATAACCAGAAACAGTCCCTTTGAATTTGGCAACTATGCCAATTTCTTCAATATTTCACTCAAGTATGAGCAACCAAATATGTGAAATTACAACAACCCTTTTATCGAATTGAACCTATTTAAAAATACAATAGATTCCAAATCCAGATTTCGGGAATATAGCCATGCTTTGTAGGTAAGGGTTTTGGTCATATACCATTTGAGTGTAATCAAATAAGAAATTTTTTAACTTGTTCAATATTGTGCAACATAAAAAAGTCATATATGATAAATTTTATCAAAAATTATAAAATTTAATATAATTTAACATATTAATAATATTAAATGTTATAATTTTTCAAGAATAATTACTATATATAATTTCTTATTTTGTGCAATATTGTAAATGTTAAAAAAAAATACATAATATGTAAAAGATATTTTGCATAATAATTAATAAATATAAAACATGCCTAAAGTGTTCACTTTTATCAGTGTACTTGAAGGAGTCTATTGCCTTTTTAGATAGTCTAATTAAATCTTGGTCATTGTGGACCACTGTTCAAAGCTCCTTGAAGAAATTGTGGAAGAGTCAAATTTCGATGGAAGAAGCAGGTGGTTGACATCGACATGTTGCAAAACAATAACTGAATTTTAGAATCAGAATATGAAAAATGTACCCTTCAAAAAATTAAATTTTAAAATAATTTATTGTCCTAAACTCAGTAGATTATAAGGTGTGAGCATGTACAATTTAAGATTATACCGGCAGGAAGTTTAGAAGTATATGCTTGATTTATGTACATGAGTGGTATTTTTTTAAATCTATAAAGAAAGCTGTGATGAAAACCAGATTCCAATAGACACAATTCCAATGGTGGCAAGAGCTTGGACCATCTCCAATATAACATTTTGTCGCTGCTGTGGTAAATTCTGCCAGTCTGTACGCCTGCAAGCACTCAAAATAAGACATCACTATAATTAAGGTAAAAAAATCATATTTGATTTACAAGAATTGACCTATTTTATGTAGCTGATATTTGAAAAAAAAAAGAAAAAACACAATAGCACTTGTGCATATGTATTTTCTCATTTATCATGCTTTACCATAAGAATAATAGCTGATAGCTTTATTTTGTTAGATACGTTGAGTACATAAATCATATAACACAATTGAAGTTGATAAAAACTAAATTCTTAATATATTATTTATTTGAATATCTAGATTATGAATTTTACTACATGCAAGCCCAGTTTTGTTCTTCACAACAAGGCCTGGCCAATAGTAAGACCTTAAACACTGAAGTCCAAAATCATATATACATGAGAAAATACATACCCTAAATCAGCAATTGCAATGCTAACATTATCGTGCGTACGTCGGTCCTGCAGATTATAACATTATAAATATTACTAAAACTGTGAAGTATCAAAATGTAAGTGTGAATATAATTCATTAAGACTTACCAAAGCAGCTTGCGCAAGCGCTTCACAAGCTAACTGAAATAAGAACAAGTAAAAATTTATTGCTACAACTTTGATGGCTTATTGATATCGGTAAAGGCCTCAAATATGTATTATGCATACCTGAATGTTTCCGTGTTTTCGTAGTTGATCCCTCACTAAAGAAACTGCTTCTGAGCTGAAATTGTAGCAAGAATGTGAAGGTAGAAGCAGAAAAAGAAAGGTACCAGAAATGAATCAAAGGGTCATGCAGTAGACCTGCTCATGTAATCCCATAAGCCATCAGATGCTAATACTATAAATTCTGCATCTGAGCCAAGAGCTACTTGAGAAATATCAGGGTATGCAACAACCAAGTCATTGTTGAGCTGTACACTGTCACAAAGGCATCATCACATTAAAATTTATAGTTTTCAGTATTAGTTAAAAGGTCAATTTGAATGTCACAGTAACACAAAGGGCGAAAACTATCATGCTATGAATTCATATGAGCTTTGGATTTTGATTATGTATTTTAGTTAACAGAGAATTATTTTTAGTTTAGACTACATGTATCTTCCACTAAAAGTAATCATGTTCAAGTCATGTAGGATCATTATGGGTGACAAAATCTCTAAATATTTAACACAACTGCATACACTAGATTTCAAGATCATAGGTTAAGTTGGAACAATCTCTAGTTAATTCACGCACTTGGTGGTGAAAGAATGAAGCTGATGGCAAGTGGCAACCCTAATAATTTGTGTGTGTGACAATCAATGAAATTTTGAACCATTCTTCCTCAAGAAATCAGACCTCTTTAGGACACAAAAAGTCTAATTAACACTTTCTCGGTGTCTTTGTAGTAGTTGAAGTTTTAGCAAGATATAAATCAAAGCAAAATAATTCATATCCTGATATCCTTTCTTTTTTATAAATGTTAATGTAATACAACCCACATTGGAGAGAATGTAAGGGATAACTATCAAGACGCATTAGATTAAACCTACCGAGAAATAAACTTTGCTGACCATCTTCCTTCCTGAACTCCTTTTTGCAGCATCCTTTTCACATGCAAAAGGTAGATATAACCTTTAGCAAACAATTCAATACTGGTAGAACATTTACAGAAACTTTAGGAGAAATTCCTTTATACTAGGCTAGGAGGAATAGTGCAGAGGTTAAGGACTGTACTCATTCTTCTTTGTTTTGAATCGTATGTCCCCAAATGCACGAGATACAGCAATGTCTCCACAGATTCTACCATTGACAATCTATAGTCAACACACATTTGTGTCATCATCAGTCATTCAGTTGGCTTTTTTATTTTTAAAGAATGGTGATGACTTTTATTAAAATAAAAGGGTATTCCAGTGCACAAGGCTCCTGCCATTGTGGTGAAAACAAATCAATAATTATGAAAAAAAATTCCATCTCAATCAGAAACAATGATCTTCAATAAAATTGTAATTTGAAATTTTGAACTGTAAATTAAGGCTAAAAACGATAACCTAAATATTGATAAAATTCAAAAGTGACCAATTTCCTATCACATGATATGCTTCGGAAGGAAGGAGCCTTGTGGAAGTTTATATGATATTATTTCCCTTCTGGGAGACAAATTATATTACTTGTAGTTTCTCCAACTACAAAACCACAATATATAAATGATAAAGCCAGGAAAGAGAAAGAAAATTGTTATATGTCCCATAAACAAGTTAGTTCACATCCTAAGTTGTCAAAACTTTCAAATCAGAATTAATTTTCATGTATATAGAATATTGACTAGGGAAGATTATCAAAATGTAAGTAAAAAAATGAAGGAACAAGGAAAACACACCCATCCACCTGCTTCTCTGATTCTTTTAATTTCTTCTAGAGAAGTCTTGTTGCTCCCATATGGTCGGTGAGGACTAGTCAGCACCTCTGCTTTTCCAGATCTGCTTAGAACCTACAAGAATAAACAACTTAAATACAAGCAGGTAACTTCATAGATATTCCATCCCCTAGATACCTTAATTTAAAGATGAGTATCAGAATAGTGCACATGATAGATATTTTTCTTGATAATTCTTGTACAGAGAAAAGTAAATAAAGAAGTACATTTTCTCATCAGTAGCTGTAGTCTAAGGATGGATAATACATACAACAGATGAGTCACCAATATGTGAAATTAGCATCTTATCATCTCCTATGAATATTGCAGTTGCTGTAGCACCTGATTGTTCTTCCTCTCCTTTCATTTCAAGCCTTTAAAAATGAAATACTGTCTAAACCTTCAATGCAATCATACCACCAAATCGAGAATCATATGAAAACTATAAAATTAGACACATTTTATGGAGATCATCGATTGCAGACAATGTACTAGCTTACCACTTTAGCAACCTCATGTCAGCTTTGACAAATGCCTCCTGTAATGCTCCTTCAATGGCTCTGAAATCTTTCTCAACTAACAGTAACCCTCCTTGTAAAGCTTCAAGACACTCCTTGTACAGCTCATCCCTGTGGTTGGCACTTGGCACATGAAATCAACGATTCAGATTGTGCAAAAAGTGATAATCCATTTACCAGAATCAATTCAGAACGAAAAGAAATCACATATTCATACAGCACAAAGATCGATGATTGCAAGGAAAGGAACCACATCATATATGAAATGCATAGTTTGGATTGAAGGAAAGGAACGAAGTAGAATGGAATGATATTACGTTTTACTGTTTGGATTGCTTAAAAAAAATGTAATGGAGCAAAATATGATGAAATGCATTTTATCTCATTCTATCCCATAGCCCTCATTTTCATCCCCTCTAAAATTTATACCTTCCTTTTTTATCCATTCCATCGTAAAACTATCCAAATAATAGAGTGCTAACTTGTTCCATTCCATCCTATTGAAGTCCCTCTGAAGTTTCATATTGAGTACAATATGACCAAAGTAGAACTTATATAGGTTAAGGCAATCCTCACCTTACAAACTAGCTCTTAGGGTTGAGTTAGGCTTTAGCCCAAAATTTAAGACATCCTACTCTACTCCTCTAGACAAACTGCCACCCACTCTCCAGAAATTCATAGACATTAAACATTGAATTCAATGCAACTAATCGTGTTAAACTCTATTGTGGACCTTTTCAACTCTTTTCAAGTAATCTCATGCCAATACAACCAAAAGCTTGGCTACCCATCATCAGTTCACACTTAACACACCCCATTATGGCATTACAAATGGATATAAAATGAGCAAAGCGAACAAGGAAATCGAACGATACATAGGAAAGCTTGAATTTTGCAAAGACCTGAGGAACTGGACCGAAGAATAGCCTCCATGGCCATCAAAGACAGCAGCAAAAGAGAAGCCATGAAGCGCATCATTTCGAACAATAACATCATCTTCCATCTCTTCACGGAGACCCTGCAAAGCAATGGATCCCCATCTTATACCGGGCACCTCAGTGAAAGAAGATGGAGCATCAATGGCTATGGCAGAGCAGCACCTGCTTCTGCTCGTATTGGCAAAGCTGTTTCTGTGTGTGTTCTTAGAGGTGGAGCGGCCATGGAGCTTGTTCAAGAGGAATCTTTGTGTTTGTGGTGTTGGCAAGGCCATTAGATTAAGCTGAAGCTGAGAGAATTGTTGATGTTGTTGTGGTTTTGGTTTTGGTGGGGAGATAGATAAGTGACTTAATAGAAGCCTCTAACTGCTTTAACGGATTGGATTCACCGATGGGATGAGATTCTCCTCAAGCTCTTGTAGTCATATAATAAACCTTAAAAAATGTTAATAAATTGGACCCACAACAAGAACTGACGTGGCAAAACAAGAACGAGGAAAATCATGGTCCTAGACCCTACCCTAGGGGATGGTCTCTACTATAATCATGTAACTCACCAGTATTAATTTTGGTGGTCAAACTACAATGTCTGATTTTCTACAAACTGCATGGCTGTGGTTCAGATCAGATAAAGTGAGGCTGCTACTCAATTCAACAAAACTAGCTGATATTTCAATTCAAGATTAAACCATTTACGTGGCCCAAAAATGTTCGGTTGTAATAATTCATGATTTTAGTTTGTATAATTATTATTATTATAATATAGATCATTCATTTCTTATGGGAAAGAGGATCATGTCGAGATAATAATTTTCTGCGTGACTTTACTTAAAGTGAAGAAAAAAGGTCCGTGGCTCAATTAGCAAATTAATCGGGCAATACAGCACATCACCACATTAATTATAAATGCTGGTCAATTTAAAATTATAATTATTTTAGTTTTAAAATTATGAAAAATGACTAAAATCATTTAAAAATTAAAATAAATAATGTTTAATAATTTTAAGGATTAAATAATATTTTTATAATTTTAGGAATTTAATTAATACCCGTAATTTTAAGGATTAAACTAGTGTATTACTCCAAATTAGTCTACATGTAAGTACATTTTACCTACATAAAAGAAATTAAAATTCATTGAAAGTACTTAATAGCCTAGAAATAAACCAAGTTTGGTCAATAATTGAAATATCTTGACTTTGTTTAGAGGAGAGATGATATAGTGAAGAGAGAAATAAAAAGGTAAAGTAAAATCATAATTTGCTAGTCCGACGCAGGCGGGCATGGATTGAAAAAGTAAATGCAATGCTAGTTATGATCCATGTTCAACTTCTTTGCAATGAGTAGAAAAATACCTTTTATTTTTATTTCCGGTTTGAAGATAACTTTAATTTGCATACGAAGTTACCCACAACAGCATCTAATTTAGATGGATGATATGAATTCCTAACCCTAGTTTAAGATCTCAGCAAAAATAAATACATAAATAAAATTCTGGACTTCATGTCTCTTCTTCTCTCAAGTAATGAGGCCCGGGCTTGAAGGGATCAGGCTCATAATATGCCTCTGGGCGGTAAATTCCAGCATCATTCATTCGGTTGCTCAAAACATGAAGAATGGCCTTCTTCTCACCTCCATACTCATCCCTGTTGCTCTCTACATAAGAATTGGCCTCAGCTGCTACCTCATTCACAAAATCAAACCTATTATCTTCTGATAACAATAACCTCTCTATGTCCATTGCCAAGAGCGATCCCTGTTCCCTTATCATCCTCACCTGCTCCTCAAGGAAAGGAAGGCGCTCCATTTTATAGGGCAGATATTCATCCTTTTTTACCTGCAACAAAATCATTTTACCTTAAATATTCGGGTTAATAACCAATGATGTTAGAGGAGCCTGTGCCAATAGCATGAATTACATGTTGTATTTTTCACCAATAACTCATATTTTTACACCCACTTTTTCTTACATTCATTTTTCGTCCTCTCTTTCATATTATCTCCTTTTTTCCTTTTTTATCACATCATCAATAATATCTTACTTTCTTTCTCTTACTCTTTTCTCTACTTCCTACTCTCTCTTCCCTCCACCCACTCTAAACCCAGAATGTGTATGTCAAGCTATAATTATTCATTCACCAGCATGACCATTCTGTATTCATTCTGAAATTATTCATTTTGCCCAATTAACTAGAAAAGAAGAAAAAAAGCATTGAACAATCTTCATGTGTTTCATTGTGTGCATAAAGATTAAGCAGAAGATAAGGGTATCTATTGACTATTGAGACTTATAAACCAAATATTGGGAGATATACAACGGAACCATGACAGAAACGAAGCAAAGACATTAATTAAGCTCTTTAACCTCAACTCTCCGATACCTTACAAAGTTTGGAATGCTTCAACCAAACAAATATACACTTACCTCATATAAAATCCTAACCTCTAAAGCTAAAGAAGTTCAAACACTTGACAGCTTAACTACTACTTTGCACAAGTCAACAATAGTCCCACAACTAGCACTTCACATCTAGAAAAAACTTGTTAACGTAAACATAATAAATATGCTACACTCGGTAAACTTTCTCAACAAGTACAGCAACCAAAGCAAGCATTTTCATTTTTATTTTCATTTGCTTTAATTTGGGAGTTTAGACAAACAGGCAAGAGACAAGCGTAAAGAAAAAATGAGAAAACTCCCAAAAGCCAAAATCGTGAGAAAAAGAGTATAAATCCACAAAGGGTACCAATGTTCTTCGCCTCCAGACTCGTTTTCCACGACCCTCCTTGCGCATTTGGGGCATCATCTTGCAAAACCAAAACAAGTTCAGTTCGGATAAAACGCAAGATTCAAAATTTTCGAATTTCTTCTACCTGAGAGCTAACCCGGAGATTCGGGCTCCCCGAATTTCCACGTTTTAACTCTATCTTCTGCAAAAAAAAAATTAATTTTATAATATGGTTGGAACTTGAATTCACAATTTCAGGAAAATAAAAAATTGAAAAGAAAATAGTTATCGTAATTGTGTGCATTTTGTCGGAAAAGAAATAGGAGAGTACAGGTAAAGCTAAAGAGAGAGTGAGGGGGTTGATGCGGATAGCCATAGCTTTGTTTTCGCGTGCTCTGTGATATTCGCTTATTCTTATCACTGTATATTTGTTTTTTAAATATGGGCAACGAGTATCAAAGTCATTGTTTATTTCAACAATTCTATCTCTTACCCTTTTTCTAATCAAACAAAGGAGTGTAACTTTGTAATTCCATTTTATCATCTTTACCTTCTTCCTATTTCTTTCAATTAACTGACTGTTAAATATAAATTAAATAAAAATTTAAATAAAAATAAGATTTTTTAAATTTGTATTAATTTAATTTTTTTCATATATATATATATATATAATTTTTTTGTGTATTATATGTTTGATCTTCTTTTTATACACAGTTAATGCTTAAAATTATTAAACTGTCTAGAAATTATATAAAAAATTAATCTATTATTTGAACCATTTTAGTATATTATTATTAAAACTTTGCATTTAAAAATAGTTTTTTTTAATGAAATATTTCATGTACCTTTCAATTGTATTTTAATGTATATTTTTATTTGTTACTTTTCTTAGTAAAAAATCTCATTGTCTTCGTTGAATGAACATCTTCTTTTATTGTAACAGCAATTTAATATTCTCTTATAAGATGTACGATGAAATTTTTCATCAGGTAATAATGTGAATCTTTCAGTTGTTAATAAGATTCGTGTTAATATTTTCATGTTGACTATAACATTTTTGAGCAACAACTTTTGTTTTGTTCCATTCCTAAACTTCTTTGCGAGAAGGTTGAAGATAAGAACTTGTTGATATGTAAAGCACTTAAATCAATAATTTTTCCTTTTGTCATTCTTTTAATAATTGATTTTTTTTTTTCATTTTTTATCCTGTATTTCTTTATTATATCTTTTGTAAAGTGTGATGTATGATTTATTTATTTATTTTACTTTGAGAGTTATACTTAAAATGTATGAATTTTTTTGGATTGTGTTTTGTACTCTTTTTATCATTATTTGGTTTATTGGAGCCTTCATATCTACAAAACATATATTCCTTTCTTTTCTTTTTCATTCAAGTACGCATTTGTTATGTTTTGTGTGTGTGTCTGTGTGGTTTTTTTTTTTAAGTTTGTCATTTTTTTTTCATAGTATAATTATATGTACTCTACAAAATGTCATGTACGGACTTATATACACACACACTTTAATATTAAAGTTAACATAAATATTTTCTTAAAAATATTAACTTTTTTTTTTTTACATTTCTTTCGTTTTAAAAATAATATTTAAGCTAATATAACATGTTCTTATTTTTTTTCTCTCCTCTTGTAATAAAGGTGATGAAAATAAAGATATACCTTTTCTTTAATTACAAATATATATATACACACCGGATACAAAATTATATCTGAACATTTAATACTAGTTCATTTAGCAAGATTCAAACTTAAAATTACAGGCTAATTCATTAACTAATGTTCAGACTATTATATATATACTTTTGAAAATAAGTAATTGTAAGCCTAATATATAATTCATTTTAAAAAAATTAACAAAAATATTAACGTCGTAACATCATATAAAAACTATTATCAACGAGAATCTCAATACTTTATTTAGGATACAATGAGAAAAACGTGAGTTTGATAACATTAGTTGGACTCATAAAATACATGTGTGTGTGTGTTTTTTTTTTATTATTGGACACATAAGAGGGGGATAAATAAGATGAAAATGAAATAAAAAAATATTTAAATTAATAAAAAATAGAAAAATTGTTTAAAATTTATGTGAATAATTGAAACAGAGTAAAATAAAATATGTATATTATACGTGAAGATATTTGGATCGCATTGAGCAGAGTTGGTAATATATCCCTTGGAACAGCACAACCCCAACTCAGACCCAGTCTTTAATATTTGCCTTCCACATGAAACCATGCCATACTTTCAAAGCTCTTCTCTCCCAACAACTTAGTGATTGTCTCCATTCGCAGTGGTTACCCAACACAAGCTCTCACAACTCACAACTAACATCAATCTACACACAAACCCAACCCTCCATAAACCTCCTTTTCAATATTCATAAGTGAGAGCCTAAATATGAATAACCTAAAAAAATTTGATTTTTTTTATCCCACTTCAAAAATTTTCCTCCTCCATACTTTCTATTTTCATCTAACAATATAAACTCAACAAGTAAACCCAATGCCAATATTGATATCTCTCATTTTCTTCTATTTTATTTTCCCCAAAATCAATACAATTTAAAGCACCTAGAAATAAAGGCACATAACCATTATTTCTCATTAATGTATCATGGTAAATGTCAAAATCATTTTAATATTACACAAAGTCATAGACAAATAAATTCGATGTGAAATGTGAAAAAGTTACCACAATATCTAAAAAAATAATGTATTCACCTATTTATCTAATATATCTATCTATCGCAGCAGAAGTTAGACCTTGACTGTTGAGTGGCTGCGATGGGCTGGTAACAGTATAAATAGATACATATTGTTAACACGAAAAAAATAATAAAAGCAGTGACACACTTGGCTTGGGCTCATCTTGCTGCTCAACTCTGCAAACAAAAGATACTTGGAACTTGTTTCTAGGGTTTCGAATTCAATGGACTCAGATTGATTGCAGAACCAAGTCAACAAAACTTGTAGTAAAATCTGGTTCATTCCCTTGACAACAAATGCTAACTCCATTGTATTGTATTCATTGGGATTATTGACGGAAACATTCAATTTCTAGTTTCGAACACCAAAAAACCTAATCCAAGTTTGGTTCCTCGATGGAAAGGTCTAGATCTAAGAGGAACTACTACTATGACCAAGACTATGATTCTGAGACCTTGGCTAAGACAAGGCCACGCTATAACCACCACTACAGCACCAGCGCTCATCGCCATCGCGGCGGCGCTGGCGGCGGCGGTGGAGGTGGTGGCCGTCATCCTAAGGCGCAGGACTCGCCGTTAACGGTAACCACAAGTTACCGCATTCTGTGCCACGACATGAAGGCCGGGGGCGTGATTGGCAAGTCCGGCAGCATTATAAAGTCTATAAGGCAGCACACCGGCGCGTGGATCAACGTGCACGAGCTTATACCGGGAGATGAGGAGCGAATCATCGAGATTTCCGACACACGCCGCCGCGACCCTGAGGGGAGAATGCCGTCGTTCTCGCCGGCGCAGGAGGCTCTGCTGCTGATCCACGAGAGGATTCTTGAGAGCGATGCGGCGTTTGGGGTGGCGGAGGAGGAAGAGGAGTACGTCGGCGGTGGAAGAGGAGGAGGAGGCGGCGGCAGTGGGAGCAACCGCGTGGCGACAAGGTTGGTGGTGTCAAGAGTGCATGTTGGGTGTTTGTTGGGGAAAGGAGGGAAGATTATTGAACAAATGAGGATGGATACGAAGACACAAATTAGGATACTCCCTAGAGATCTCAACCTTCCCCGTTGTGTTTCCATGTCTGAAGAGATTGTACAGGTTCCTCAACAATAACAAGCTTGGAACTTTTTTCATCTGATACCTTATATTGCATGCATGCTCAAAACAATACCCCCCTTCATTGATTTTGTTGAACATCGGTTTTGGACTATATGGACTTTGGAGTGTCACTCGTGGTGCTTCATTTTTGCTTTTGGAGGGTACTAATAAAATTGCAGAACTGAAGATATTAATGGGTTTTTCACGTTTCACTCTACTCTTTGCTTCTTTCTCATCCATTAAATGGTCAGCTTCTTATAAACTAATAATGTAATAAAGCTTCCATCGTAACTGATTTTGGCTGTGGCATGAATGCCATTTGAAGCTCTCCTTTATTAACATTACTTTCGGCTAAAGAACTGAAAGGAGGAAAGATGTTCAGTTCCAAATCAAGATTGCTTGCTTCGGAATACATATTATGTTGGATCATTGATTTGTGCTTCGTTACCCAAGTTTTTAATAAACTTCTTTAGATTTAGTGGTGGATCATGTGCTTCTTTAGTGATCTGGTTGAACTTAGCTTGATCAAGTATGTATCTGTTGATCGATTTTTCCTTGAATTTACTCTGAAAATTGAGACAAAAAGTTGGCTGTGGCATGCTAATTTGAGGATAACTTCTTTGCGTTTATCTTTTATACTGAATTTTAAACGATTATACAGATATTGGAAGTATGGAGGTGCATGGTGGTTTATAATCTGATTTGATTTATCTGCAAATTTAGCTGTTCAAAAAATATTTAAACCAAGTCCATTAATTATATGATATTCTCTGCAGGTTGTAGGTGATGTAAATGCTGTGAAGAATGCTCTAGTAATTATATCATCACGATTGAGGGAGAGCCAGCACCGTGACCGCAGTCATTTTCATGGACGTGTACATTCGCCAGAGCGTTTTTTCTCTCCTGACGATGATTATATTCCTCATGTGACTAGTGGATCTCGTAGATCATCTATGGATGGGGCTGCTTTTGGATCACGAGTATCTACCACAAATACCAGGAACAATAACCACCCAACATTAGGTTATGCAATGGAGCCTGGGGCTGCTCCTGTTACTGATGATGCACAGCCCTTCTATGGGGAGGAACTTGTTTTCCGTTTACTTTGTCCAGTTGAGAAAGTTGATCGTGTTATTGGGGAATCAGATGGAATTGTAGAGTTCCTTCAGAATGAAGTTGGCGTCGATGTAAAGGTCATTGATCCTGTTGGTGGTTCAGATGAACAGATAATTATGATTACTTCAGAGGAGGTACCTTCCTTCTCTCTCTTTCTGTTTCTTTGTTTGTCGTGTATTGTGTACTACTAGTAGAAATCATTTAAGTCTCTAGTTCAGTTCTTGGAACAGTGCTTTTCCTGCATAACTTCAACTCTTCTTTAGTGCAATTTGACATGTTTTTCATGTAGATATAATATACGTCATGTTTAACGTTCTAAGTTTTAACTGCCATTATTGCGTTCTTAAAGGGTCCTGATGATGAGCTGTTCCCAGCTCAGGAAGCTTTGTTACATATACAAAGTCGCATTGTCGATCTTGTTCCAGATAAAGACAATGATATAACCACCAGGCTTGTTGTCCCATCTAGTGATATTGAATGCTTGGATGGAAAAGATGCTTCACTATTGGAAATAAGGAGGTTGACTGGTGCTAATGTTCAAATTTTGCCTAGAGAAGAACTACCTCTTTGTGTTGCAAAAGCTGATGAACTGATACAGGTTTGTCATTTGACCACCACTTGCACAAATATTTTATTAGATTCCCTTGGAGTCTGAAGGAGTTAATGATAAATGTTGACCTTAATAACGATGATAGATCTTATTCCTCAAAGCATCATACTGGGTGCATATGTACCCCATTGCTCTGCCATTAATTTTACAAACCAAAGAGTGCATAGTTCTCGTTGGCTTTGTTTATTTGAAAAAAATTACATTAAATGTAGACAGGATGAGGACAAGTCTTGGTGCAACAATAAACTTGTTGCCTTGTGACCTAAAGATCACAGGTTCAAATCCAGGAAATAGCCTCTCCACCTGTCGGGGTAAGGCTACATGCATCTACCCTCCCCAAACCCCACTAAATGAGAGCCTTGTGCACTGGGGTATAGAGATTAGAGAGGATCTGAAACCCTACCTTCTACGAGGCTAAAACAAAGACTATTCAAATTCTGCTTTTATTTTCATTTCTCAATTGCTTCTCTATTGCTCATACAGATTGTGGGAGAGATCAAAGCAGCCCGAGATGCTGTTGTTGAGGTGACATCAAGACTAAGAAGTTATTTGTATAGGGATTTCTTTCAAAGGGAGACAGTAGCACCAGCAGCTCTCTTACCTGGTGTGGAGGCATCTTCTTCCAATAATATAGCTCCAGTTACTGAAACTTCCACAACCTATGAGAATATGCAGACTGTGGGGGCAACCCTTCCGTTGAAGGTATTCATTTGATGCGACAAGAAATGCCATGTTATCTTTATGTATCTGTTATCTAAATGATCGGCATTTGGGAGATTTGTTAGCCATCTTTAGTATATATATCTTGTTTCCCCTGAAATTTGAGTCAACACTACATTGGAAACTTTTGTCTTGCCAGTGATTTTTTAATGTGTGGGCTAACCTTTTCTTTTCTTTTCTGAGGGGGCGTGGGGGTGGTATATATTTCTGTCCATATTGAGTGTGTCATAAACCTGTTGACGAAGCAAGTCATCAAATGAACCCATAGATTATTATCCACTGATCAAGTTATTTTTTATTTTTTTAAAAATAAGATATATTTTGTGCATTGGCTATCCAAGTGTAATTTACAATCTCAGGTGTTCTGAAGTGATGGCTTGGGCCACTTTATAGAGAATATTGAATTTTTAATTGAGAAAAAATGATTTTTTTTCCTTTCTCTTTGGAAGGAAACTGGAGGATCAAGCATTGAGACAGGAAAACAGAAAGAAAGTGATCGCCGTGATGAGATGCCTAGCGCTTTAAATAGGTAACTGACCCTGCCTCATCTCATGATAGGATGTGGTATTCTAGTGTGGACTGTGGAGTGACTTGCCAAAAATGTCCTTGTAATCAATAGAATGGTGTGCAACTTCTGCAGTGCTGTTTTCTTTCTCCCTTTCCCCCTTTCTAATATTTTATTTTCCCACCTGTATTTGTGGTTAGGATTGCTGTGCCTCTTGTCACAAGGAGTACACTTGAAGTTGTTATACCAGAGTATGCCGTACCAAAGCTTATAGCAAAATCCAAAAGCAAGCTTGCACAGATAAGTGAGGTGTGTGTGATTATTATATCTTCAGTCCCTTTCATATTTAAATTGTAAAAAAATTGCTAGAACTGGCATTCCAAGTAGTTATACTTAGAACCTTAAATGCCATGCTTACTTTTATTATCTTCCCTCGGACATCATTGAGGAGCTCCCCACCCCCCAAAAGCTCAATTCTGTGAGCGATGTAATAACTCTAAGAACAAGAATGACATAACTTTTTTTCTTAAATGATCGATGGGTATTTCTTTATATTGCTGGACTTCCCGGATTGTATCGTTATATTGTACTTCAATGTATTTATATTTCTTGTTTTTTTCCTTGGAGTTAGATTTATATTCTGGAAATTATTATCCTTATATTACTACTTTTACTCTCAATGAAAGCCATTCATGTTCACTTATGTTTTCATGGCAACAGTTATCAGGAGCCAATGTAACCCTTGTAGAGGATAGACCAGACGTAACGCAGAAGATTATTCAGATATCTGGTACTCCAGAGCAGGCAGAAAGGGCCCAGAGCTTGCTCCAGGGATTTATTTTGAGCAGTAAGTTGTCAATGTCTCTGGGGTGTGGCTATTTTTATTCTCATGCATGCATTATTAGTCTTTTTTTTTTGGGGGTGGGGGGGGGGGGGTGGGGTCAACTCATGCATGCATTAGTCATGGTCTTGGTTCGTAAAGAGTAAACACCCATGTCCTGTAAATTGAAACGATATTTATTTTTGTTTTTACAGCACAAGAAGACGGCCCTTAAGTTCTTGGCATTCCGGAAGCTGGTTTAGACTAAAGGATAGTACCATTGATTTAGCGTCTGAGGCATTTTGTTCCATGCACTGATTGGTTTCCATGTTTGGAACATTGCTGTCACCCAGAGTTGGAATTTTCAATGTGAGAGAAGCACCCTCCTGTAAATGTTGTATTGAGAGCTTCTTTGTAGTTTTATAAGCAAGTGCGTGGGAGCATTTGTTGGCTACCCTGGATGGTGTTTTACTAGATCTCATACCTATTAATCAAAAGCTTTTTCCCAACACTGAAACAGAAAGCCAAAAGGGTTGAAAATATGTTTCCATTACGTGGTTTCCATTATGCATAGGTTTAAAATAGGCTAGACGACTAACTTATGCTTTGCAAGGCTTAAGTTTGGTTGACTTTAAATTGATTTAGGCTATTATTATGGCCCGATCATTAAACTTATTTAAAAGTTTACATTGTAACAAAATCTTTTAAATAAATTAAAAAATTATCCTTACATAGGTTCTTGAATTTAAACTTATATGTAAATAATTATGCTTAAGTTTTTAAATAAAATAAGTACAACTTTAAAATAATAATAAGACTTAGTCGCAATTTAATTTCATGATCTAATTTATTAGTGATTTTAATCTAAATTTTTAAATATTCATATATTTAGTTTTTATAATCTTCAATTTTTTAAAGTAAATTTTTTAATTTTAATTTTTTATTGAATAATTAGTAAGAATATAACAATAATATAATATATCATTGATTTATATAAATTTGTAAAAAAAAGTATGGATATAAAACTCAAATAAAAAAGATTTTATCATTTTTATTTAAATATTTTGTACATGTTTTTTTTTTACTAATTTATACAAATTAATAATATTCCACATTTGATATATTTTTATTAATTTATGAGATTTTAAAGTGAATGACTTAATTTGAATAATTTATTTTTTGAGGAATTAACTATTTCATCTTTTCAAGAAAAAAAACTAAAATTATGCTCAAATAAGCTTATTCATTGCATGTAGATGAATAATAATAATAATAATAATAATAGTTATCCAATGTTTTCAATTAAATAAAGTTTTGAAAATATTTAAACCTGATATATTCAATAAATAAGCTTCGTTTGAACTAAGCTAGAAATCTCTAACAAACGGTTTCACTCGTTTTCATTCTTTATTATGCACATTCAATATTTGTTAGTTCCAATGGCCATTCAATCGCATTTCATCTCACAATTCTGAAGTAAAAAGCAAGTTGTACGCTTGATTTGAAGTTAAAGTATCTCTCTAGATACCTGTCACATTTATTTTACAAGCGTTTAAAATATAAAAACTATTCTTGATACTGTCTAATAAATGTAGTTCCACCAATAAAATAAATGTGAATTCAAATAGCCTAAAATGTTTATAAATGTGAGACCACCAATATCACCACATGGGATTCAATATTTGTTTAAAGATCAAATGTAGAAATTTAAATTATTATCTTCTTTTTTTAATTTCATCCTTCAAAAGATATGTTGTTGAAAGAACAAAAAAAAGTCGTTTACAATTTAGAGAGGAATTTATTTTTAAATTTAGAATAAGAAAATATCAAATTCAGAACAATTCAAAGACAGTTAAATCGAAAATATAGCATGTTATAAATTATAGATTATTTATTTTGATGTCCCGTTTTGTTTAATTAATGTATTGATATGGCCTTAAGAGAGCTTTTTTTTAGTAAAAGTAATAAATGTATTTAATTATTTTCGTTTTAAGTATTTATAAATAATATTTTTTACTTAAATATAATATTTATTATACTTTTATATTTTTAATAAAAATTTATTATTTTTATTTGCTTATGCTTAAATTTTAGTTATTTAAATATTTTTTTTAAGGATTGACTTTAAATATCTATAAATAGTACACTTTTATTCAAAATGTAACATTTATTATATTTTTTATTTTCGAGATAATAATTAGTTTCTTTAAAGAAAATCATCACTTATATTCAGTGCTAAGAACTGAGTTTAAATATTTATAAATAATATTTTTTTATTAAAAAGTATATAATGTTTAATATTTATAAACAAATCTCTTTCAAAACTGGAATTAACAAAGCAATAACTTGTTTAAAACTTGTATTATTTTTCAGTTTGAAATGGTGGACGATAAATGGAAGAAGATTGCTAATAGGTTGGGAGGTCGGAATCTTCGGTAACGTGTGATTAAGGCCATTCTATGTTGCTACGTGTCTTATGGTTATTGGTTCTTGAGTCTGATACCCTCCCTACACATAACGTGGACAGATTCATATACATGAAAAACCTCAAACACCCCAAAAAATAACGTTGTCGGTTTGGGTTTTGTTTTTGGTCTGAGGTTTGGGTTAGAATCGTAGCAGAGGCCCAAAACGCCATAACAGAGTCAACTAAGCCCAACATAAACCCGCGCTTTATCCGTTTCTCTGCTTTTGTTTTGCTCTATTGCTAAGGTTTGATCCTAAGAAGAAGACGAGGTTTGTGTGCACAATATAATGGAAGCTCCGTTTGTTCTTCCCTCTCCCTCTTTCACTGCTTTCAGGTTCTTTTTCTTCTCTTTCTCCGAACTATGCTTAGTGCTTACTTTGCATTAATGCTTTGTTCGCTGCAATCACCTTAGGATAGTAATAGCAACTTTATTAACTTAATTGAAACTTATGTGCTTTACTAACGCTCATATTTGGTGGTATTTATACCTTTTCGGAATTCGGAATGACATTTATAACTCACCTCGTCCTATTTGATTTTATTTTGTTTTTTAAGTATTGAATAGTTGAAAAGGAGTTGATAAAAAACCATTAAAATTTGCTTCATGGATGAAGTAGCAATGTACCAAAGAAATTTGTTAATTTGGGTGGGTTTGGCTGTCGTTTTCTGAGACTTGGGCAGACAATATTTGGTGCAAGTATGGAAATGAAGTTATGTTCATCACTGTGAGAAACCATCTCTACCTATATTATGTTCTAAATTCGGATTCTATGGATTTGAGTTAACGTGAGTTCTTGTGATGCTTTTACCGTATTGTGGAAAATTAACCGCCTTGTTTGTGGATTGAATCATCAGATTATATTTGACAAGAACTGGACACTGGCACTTAATGCATATGGTGAAGTGCCTAAATTCTTTTAATAATTTAGCTGCAATTGTGCAAGTCTTTGATTAAGAAACATGTTTAATCTGTGAGTGCAAATAATTGCTTCTGGGGATTCCTATTGTGTTTTCAGTCGTCTAGTCTTTATTTTAATTTACACATCTGATCAGAACATTTTGTGATGGATTGGCCTAATGTCTTTTGTCGTCTATTGTTAGGACAAGCAAAGAGCTTCTCCATATGCCATCACTGTTTGAGTTGAAAAGCATAACATGCTTCTCAGTTTGTAGTCAAAAGCAAGATTACAATCGAAAGATGTACATTATACCCATTAGGACTGTTTGTGCTCGGCTTTGCATCGCAAGATCTTCAGTTGGGTCGTTAGAATTTGGTGGGACAGGTCCGCCTAGCAATGCTTATTCAGGATTTTCAGCTTCAAATGACCATCAGAGGTGGGAATTGGTTCAAATGATATTGACTTCTTTTCTTCCACTGCTTGTGCCTGTTGTTTTTTGAAGTATTCTGAATTTCAATTTTGCACTTAAATTTTCTGACCATTGCATTATAATTTTATCCTCTATAGGTAAAGCATCTTTGTATCATCATTATAACTTAAATTGTTAATCTTGGATTTACAATGTCCCTTGACTCTGCAAGTGACACATTGCACAGAATCAGAGATTTTGAGAGAGAGTTGGAAGAATTATTTGATGAAGTGAAAAGAATGATTAGGATGGGAAACAAAAATGATGCAATAGATCTGCTTAATGCAAATTATGAAGTGGTAAAAGAGCGACTGAACACAGGCACTAAAGGCATAGAAGAAGCTGCTATTTTGGACATCATAGCACTGGGTTACATGGCTGTTGGAGACTTAAAATTTGTTGATTCTCTGTTGAATATGGTAATTTACCCTTCTCCTTCCACTCTTGTGAATTCTTCGATCATTTTGAGATCTTGTACAATTAAAGTTGAGATTCTCTGGATTCAGAGTAACTTAAATTTATGTGTGCATGGTATGTCATTTGTTGAACTCTCAGAATTTGCATGCCTCTTTTACTGTCTAGATTAAGATGTAGGAGTATCAATTTACGAGATGATACTGGCACCAGCTTTCACTAATTACTATAATGAGATTGGAGTACAATGAGGAAATCAAATGTCAGTTTTATTTTTGTTTTTTATCATGAATCCACAAATTTGTCATGGTTGTGAGGTTAGAATGAACAAGGAGCCGTTTGGAAGAGCTTATGACTTATTTAAATAACCTTCTTGGTATAGCTTATCAAAATAAGCTCTTTTTAGCTTATTCAAATAAGTTTCATGATCAAATTGATGCTATAAGTCCTCATGTGAAAAAAGCTTATTGATTAAATGCTTAATGAGGTTGCTTACCCAAATGCACCCTAAATGGCCACCAAAAATGGATGCTGTCAAATTATCTGCTCACTCTAGTCTTGACTACACACATTTTCTTGCATGAGCTGAGTGTTTCCATCTGTCTGGTTAGGGGTCAGTGACTTTCTATTAGTATCACATGTATACATGTAACTAATAATTGCAAATTATTATATGTGCTGCAAGTCTGTTGAAATGCTGAAGTCAAATGCACACCTCTTTCTGCTGTTGTTCCTGCTAAAATTTAGTGATTCACTCCCTTTTCTCTTGGAGTGCATTCTTATATTTTCATTAATGCCAGATGAAAGAAGTTGTTGACAATTTGAAGGATGATGCACCACATCTAGATTCAATACTTATGCACATGGGAAGTATGTATGCAACATTGAGCAAGTTTGAAAAATCATTGGACACATATCAAAGGGCTGTCTACATTATGGAGAGGACATATGGTGAGTGCATTTTTCAGTTAGTAACGTTAGTTTTATTTAATATTTAATCTTATTTACCTATGGTGAATGGCTGTCATTATGTTGGATAGCTTATCTGTTTGATTAGAAAATTGGAGCTATTTTTCAATTGTCATGTCTAATTAGAAGCTACTTTTAACTGTTTTCAATCTCCATATTCCTTCACAAAATGATCCTTGGTGAAGCCATCTTAGCTTTTAATTGCTGTGTTCCTTTTTCAAAATTTTGATATTCTCAACATAATTTCTTCTTCTAGGTAAGGATAGCACTTTTCTTGTTACACCCTGTTTGGGTATGGCAAAAGTTCTTGGTTCCATTGGAAAAGCAACAACAGCAATAGATATATACCAGCGTGTAATCACTCTCTTGGAATCAAGAAGAGGTGCTGAAAGTAAGGATTTGGTCGTACCTTTACTTAGTCTTGGCAATCTTTTACTGAAAGAAAAAAGAGCCAATGACGCCGAAAGTCATTTTACTAGGTTAAGCTTCCTATTTTTGTTTTCTCCTTCCGTATTCCATGCATGTTATACTTTGATTTCTTCAATAATACTTTTATTTATTTTTGTTTTCCAGGGTTCTAAATATATACACCAAATTGTATGGACAAAATGATGGAAAGATTGGAATGGCTATGAGTTCCTTAGCCCAAGTGAAGTGTGCTCAAGGTAACTTTATAATAATCTTGCTCATGCAGTTTCTCTTGTTGTTTCATGTTTCATTTTATACCCTTTATTCTTTCTTTCTTTCCTGGTTGCACAGTTAATGTGAATATTGATTAGAAGTTCTTTAATGTATGATAGATTTTGTGTCATTCAGAAGAATGGTGGAATAAACATCTATTTCTATCCAAATTGTTGTTTGGTCTTTTGTCATATATGGAAATTACTTCAGTGATTTTTTTCGTTCTTTTCTTTAAATGGTCTCCAATTACTGGGCCCTGGTTTCTCCTTTCCTTTCTTTTTTTTGTGGGTTACAAAGTCTGGGTATGTATTGATTTGCATTATATTTTGCAGGGAAATCAGATGAAGCAATTCATTTGTTTAAACACGCTCTTCAGGTCATGAAGGATTCAAATTACTTGCCACCAGATGACAGTATATTGGAAAAGATGAGGGTAGATCTAGCTGATTTACTTCATGCTGTGGGGAGGTAAGCTTTTCCATGCAACCTCACTATTTGGAATGAAAATTTTAAGTATCTTTTGTCATTTAAGAATGAAGGATTGCAACTTAAAATAATTTTTTTGCTGAATTTTTGTATATTTAGACAACCTAATGGTCCAAAAATAAGGATGGAAGAACCAAAAATAAAGGAAACCAAGATTAAAAAACTGAAGGTTATTGAATTGAAGCTTTGTATATGGTAAGTTGGTAACTCAATACTTACTGTGATCGGTTTCTATTGCTTTACTTCAAGAGGGAAAGAAGGCAGAGAGCTTTTAGAGGAGTGCTTATTGATCACTGAGAGGTACAAAGGAAAGGAGCACCCCAGTTTAGTGACACACATGGTAAATCTTGCAACTTCATATTCACGGTCAAAGAATTATGCGGAGGCTGAGCACTTGCTGAGAAGAAGTTTGCAAATTATGATAAAGCATAAGGGAACTGATGACCCGTCCATCAGCTTTCCTATGTTGCACCTTGCAGTTACACTCTACCATTTGAAACAAGATGAAGAAGCTGAGAAATTTGCTCTGGAAGTTTTGCACCTCCGTGAGAAGGCATTTGGAGAAGATTCTCTTCCTGTTGGTAAGATTTCCCTTTCTTCCTTGAAAATATAGTCTGGCTCAACTTAATATGATCTAGATAGTCATTATTCTGTCAATTCAATTGAGTTGCATTTCACTGATGAGCAGTAATCAAATTCTTATACGGAAGGGAAATACCGTGAGCCCAACTTTTTCATTTATTTCTCTTTGGGATGAAAATTGATATATAGTATGCATGGCAGGAGAGGCTTTGGACTGTTTGGTGTCTATACAAACCAGACTTGGTAAGGATGACAATGAGTTACTCAAGCTGCTTAGAAGGATCCTGAATATCCAAGAGAAAGAATTTGGATATGAGAGTGAGGAGGTTTTGGTTACCCTGAACAAAATTGTATACTACTTGGATAAATTAGGGAGAAAAGATGAAAAGCTTCCCCTACAGAGAAGGTTGTCTCTGCTTAGGAAGAAATATAAGCAGATGGTTCATCACTAAAGGGGTATCATAATATATCATTATGATGTTTGTGATCTTTATCCTTCCTTCATGCTTTTTTTAAGCATTTCTCCAAATGTTTCCTTGTGTTACTTCCCAGTGAGAGGCTATGACTATTTCTTTGCGTTCACATTAGTATATGGGGGTGCCAATTAGAACTATCGTAAAATGATAACGAGGAATTTCAGGTTCATAATAACTAGACGAATTGGGGAATGTTTTAACTTTTTTCTTAATTAGTAATATACTCAAATAAAAATAAAAAATGGAGGAAATTTGGTGTATCAATTGCATTAGCGTGGATAATCATCCCAGATGAAGTTATTACACCATATCTTAAAAATTTTCTAAACAATAATATTTCAAAAGCATTTTCAAGAGAGCTTAAAAAATTTATTTCTTCAAACATAAATATTATTAAACATGCACTAAATATATTAAGGCTGTGACCCATCCTCTCAAATTATTGCTTCCATGCAAGTAGGTGAGAAGTGATGAGTGAAAGTTATTTATTACTTGTATGAGAGTGACTTGCAAGTAACTAACTAAATAAATGGATGCTTTGGAAGCAAATTTAAGTGTCGTTTTCTTTCTAATAGGGAAAAAGGATGGCTAATTAATTATATATTACACGACCAAAGGGAATCAAACCGTGCACTTCTCTCACAGCCAACACTGGACAGAATTAAGAAAACAAGTAATGAGTAAATTATTATTTAATAAAAAAAGAAAGTGTTGAAAAAACGAGTCACAAAGAGATTGCCATGGTGTCACCATTAGTCCCTTTCCTTTCAAGGCCTCATTAGAGCGATGACGACACAAACCTCCCGAGAATTGGGACAGTAGGACACGGAAGAGAATCATTATTAGTTATTTTATGGCAAAGTTTTTATACTTTATCCCAACAAAAAAATTAAACATATGCTAAATGAATAAATAAGGACGTTTAGTAGAGTTCATGTAAAATTTATAAAAATAATGTTTGCCTTTTATAAGCTTTTTCTTATATTTTTTTAATAAATTTATAGTTAAACTCATTACGTTAATTCTCATATAATAACAATATGACTTGTAACATCATAATTATAGTGAGATGAAGATAAGAAAAAAAAAGTAGATATTTTTTTGGGACGACAACGACTTGTCTTAGACAAAGAATAAAATATATTGACCAAAAATTAAAAAGGCAAAGAATAAAATACAGGAAATTATAACTCAGAAAGCATGGGACTAGATAGTTTTTTTTTGGCATATCAGCGCAACATAATTATTTATTAGGTTTCGTTAACTTCAACTTTTAGGTTGAATTTAAACATTTATAAGTAAAATTTTGTATAGAAAAAAATTATATTAAAGTTATAAAAGTATAATAATATTTTTTAAATAAAATTTAATTATTTTTATTATCAGTTCTTTATGAGTATGGTAACATTTTCCTTATTTTATTTATTTATTTATTTATTTGACATGGGTGTCATAACAACGACCATGCTTTTACACAAGTCCTAGCAATAGCAACACAACGCACTCTATTATTCTCTTGGACAGGTGTACAAACAAATCCCTGACATGTTTCAGAGTTAGAGGGAATGAAGTTCAGATGATAAGCAAGGCAAGTTCTCTCTCTCTCTCTCTCTCTCTCTGAATATTCTTGTCCTTCCCTGCTTCTTTGTGATCTCATGTCTCTTTCTTGTTCAATTGTTGAATGATGGTGCTGAGCCTGAACAACTTCTGTACTATCAAGTTTCTCTGTTAACTTTTTCGTTGCCAAAATAGTGCTCTTCTCTGCATTCCTTTTCTGTTGGTCGTGTAACTGTCAAGAGAAATTAAGAAAGTTGACTTCGCTGGGATATTTGTTCTCACACACTCACTTCTTCCAAACAACAATGTGAATTTCTATATGGAAATTTTGCACCCCCAGAATGGACATGTTATGTTCCTTTTCTTGCATATGGACACCCGAAGTTTTTATTTTGGCTATTGCATTTGCTATATTGACTCATCAAAGGCTGTTTATTTATCTTGGGTTTTCATGACTCCATGATGCGTTGACATTAATTTTTCTCACTAAGTACGTGTTTTGATTCAAGTTTAAATTGGCATAGATCCACGTTTACTTCAATACGTAACTTTTGCGTTGGATTCATGTTTATAAGTCTTTCAATGTTTCTTAACACACATAAGTTACTTGCAACTTGATCTCTCTGGGAAAAAAAGGCAAAGAAGTTTGCTCTTAATGGATTCGTGATCTTCTATCTTATTCATAAGAAATATAACTATTGTCCTTTTGATCTTGCACTTCTGCATGATTCATGTTTGAAGATGAATGTTCCTTGTGTTTGGGAAGGGGGTATGTGGAAAAAATGTTTTTAATAATGAGAAAAGATAACTTTTTTTCCCATGGATTGATTGATTGATTGATTGATTGGGAAAAAGAAATATGGTTAAGGTTTGACATTCTACAATGATTTTTGAGACGACTCTGGTAACAACTGTTGGACCTGGTGGCCCTACTTTTCCTGTATTCCTTTAGCTTTCATGCTTTTTCAGGTAAATTTGAGGATTGGAAATTTGTTGGTCTGGTAACAGTTTGCTTCTACTATGTTTATTTGCTAGAGATTTGGGATTAACACTTCCATTTATATTGTTTGCAATATGCATAGGTTGCATGCGATGTTCTTAATTTATGTTTTACTAATTCAACAGATGCTTGCCAGGTCCATCAAAAGTTGCTTCTTAAAATAGGTCATCACTCTGATACCAATTAGTAATGGCATCAGCAGAAAAGAGGACACCCTATACAGCTAATTGTTTTACTCAAGATTGCCGGATTCCCCTGAATTCTCTGGATCATCCATCATCAGTTTCAAAAAAATTAGTATCTGATTTGGCTTCTGGTAATTCTATTAGCGATCAAATTCATGCCAATTCAGTTAGCAAACTACATAATTTAAATTCTGATAAGCTACCAAACATGAAATGGTGGCTACATGTGAAAAGTGAATTGGGGGGTGAGGTAAATTATACATCTCAACATCTGAATTCCTACGAGTCTGAGCTTGGTGCAATCTCTACTGAATTTCTTGATGAAAATGTTAAGAGTAGGGGAGATCAATCTGTCAAAGACTTTGATGCTCTTTCTAATTTTGAAAGTGCTAATTTATCTGTTGAGCAGCCATGGCATGCCTCTCCTACGTGTATGAAAAACAACAATACCAGAATGCCAAAAATTGAAACTTCACTGAATACAGATTTACATTTTACTCCTAAGAAGAAAGATCAGGGGGAATTATGTTTTTCAGATAGTCATTTTATGGATTGCGATATTTCAGGTTTCTTGATCTCTGAACTAGGTAAAATGACATCATCTGATCTAAAATCACATTTGATGGAAGATGAGAAAATTGAGCCTTGGTGGCGCACTGCTGGAAAAGATGAGTTAGCTTCCTTGGTTGCTCAGAAATCGCTTGAGCATATAGAGAATTGTGATCTCCCTCATCCCCAGACTAAGCACATTAGACAGAGACCCCCCTACCCAAAGGGTGTTGATAATGATAAGACTCAACCATCATCTTTCAACCACAAAACCAAGACTGGTTCTTCCCTTGGGGATGGTTATCCATCTAGCACATCCTTTTCTGGCTGTTCATTTCAGGATGCAAATAAGCATTTAAGGTATCGCCATAGAGGGATACTTTACAACTTTTATTAAATGTTTTCTGCGGTCTTTGCCATCATTTATTAATTGTAATCTCGTCATGTTTGAAGTATTGAACTTCCAAGTCAAATCTTTTTACTAGGATTAAGGGTTGTTATTTATAGATGCTAACAACATTATGATACCTTATATGTATGTTGTTTACAGTGATCAGTGTCAAAACCTCCGTTTATTTCTGTCTGAGATAGTATACATTCTTTTATAACTCAGATGATTCTGTATCCATTAGTTTAAACGCAAATGAATTGCAGTGTTCGAGTATCACGAGGATACCTCTTCATTATTGTTAACTTGCACAGATTCCAAAGTTATTTTATTTTCTTTATAACTCCAGGATTATTGGAGTTGTGATTTGTGATGATGGTTCTTTCCATCACTTTGCTAGTTGTAATGTGTCGGTGAATTCCCGTGATACCTTGATCAGAGTAGTATTATCGTAATTTTTATACCATGCACCACCAAGTGGGAAGGGTTCCTAGACCCACTTCATTCTAGATCCATCCCACTTTATTTGACAGACTTTTGGCTCTGACTGCTTGCCCTTTTCAGATTTTCTAAAAGTAGTTTTGGTTATCCATCTCATGCTAACAAGGAAGTTGATGACTTACTTATTTAACTGAATTTAAACCTTCTTTAGTAGCTATGATTGATTAAGTTGTATAGATGTATGAAGCTACCAACATGTGATGATTTTTTAAAGCTTTTAGAAATATATGCTGATGCTTCCTACAATCTTTTCAAGCTAAGATTAAAATTGTTTGAAGGATATGTTTTTGCTTCTGACTTGTCATCCCCCTTTTTTACTCTTTGCATTGCACTTGCTGATTTTTAACCACAGTTTTCTGACATCACCCTGATTTGAGTTACAAACCATTTGTTTTATTTTGTATGCCATCATCTTAAATGAAGTGCATAGATTCTATGATATTTTAGACATGCATATTATTGTAAAACATTTTGTAGATAATTCTGTGGTTGCTTAGATGCTACACATTCTTGGAAATTTAAGATACAATGATAGAATTTAATTGTTGTACTAGATTATTAAATTTCTGGCATATGAGACAATATTTTTAATTAAGTAGGAATTTATGATGCATACCAAACACTTCCTTGGGGAGTTTTTTTTTTTTAAAGAGTTTGACAACTTTTACACTGGTGAGTTGAAATTTCTTGATTATTCCATGATCAAGTCATTACCAAACTATGCTCCATATGTACAGTTCTGACGAGAGCAAAGATTCTAGTTCAAGCAACAAAGGTTGGCAAATAAATTCTGAGAACAGTAGCATGGCTGAGCTGTTGAAAGCACTGTGTCATTCTCAAACAAGAGCCAGGGAGGCTGAGAAAGCAGCACAGCGAGCTTACAGTGAGAAGGAGCACATCCTTAGTCTCTTTTTTAGACAGGCGGCACAACTCTTTGCTTACAAGCAGTGGTTCCACGTGCTGCAGCTTGAGAACCTTTGCCTTCAACTCAGAAACAAAAACCAGCCATTGCTAAATCTCTTTCCAGCATACTTACCATGGAACCCTTGCAGTGGAATGCTGCTTAAGAAGGCTCGTAGCAGAGCTAAGAAGATTAATAGAAGAAGATGCGGAATTAGAAAATGTGCCATTGCTTTTGCTATGGGTTTAGGCCTTGCAGGTGCTGGTTTGCTTCTTGGTTGGACCATGGGATGGATGTTTCCTCCATTATAAACAATATCTTGGTTCAGATGTTGACTAACAATTCTATGCTCTTCTGGAATTTGAATTCAGTTGTGCTGATAAGATTTGCAAGAATGTATATATGATGGTATCCATGGTTTCCAATTCCATCATATGTAAATATTCCTACTTACATTCGAGATCTGTTAGTTGTATATATTTAAGAATAAATAGTGTAGAAAGATCCACTAATAGCGTGTTTGGTTTTGCATTAGCATGTATATAGATCCACGTTACTGGTTATAACTTCTAAAATTTACAGGCATTTTAATGTGTTTCCAAAGTTGTTGTTGAAGTACAAAAATAAGGTAATTGGTAGGGACAAGTATAATGTTTGCTCTAAATATCAAATGTACTTAGCTTCTTCCAATATGTCATGTGTAAAAGGCCATAGTCATTAGGATTTGTTGCAATATAAGGTATATGGTTCAGAGATGGCTTCCATTGCCATAGAAGACGCTTTATATTCTTCTTTCAACTATGCCTTTATTATCCTTAGCCTTGACATTTCAGGTTATTATCATGTTCATCTGAAAAAATAGATTTTTTTTAGCTCATCATGTGTTTTTGTTGTTTTCTGCTAATTCTGTCAAGCATGAAATCTTGGTGTATAGATTTTCTACGTTTCAGGTTTAAGGGTATTCGTGCTGTTTGTTAATCAAAACTGAAAAGTTTGATTACCGTCTTCTTTTATTCACCAACTCGGTGCTTTTCCAGGAATATCTCTTTGCTGTGACTTGTGACGTTAAAACACGTGAGAAATGAATTGCATAACTCTAATCGTCCAATCCCTCACATGTTGAAAATTTTCAAGTGTACTTTTCTATGTTCTTCCTCTTTTCTACCCTTTGATCTTATTTAACAATGCAGAATGTCAGTCTTAGAGTTACAAAATCAGTCTTTGCCTTGACTTAACAACTTGAAACATTAAGGATAGTCAATTATATTTAAGTAAAAATGGGGATTCCAGAAAGTAAAAATGTTTCATATATTTAAGATGATTAGAGTAGTGTAGTAGTTAAAATCTTTTGTATAATCCACTTCAAATTTGTGATAACTCATCATGTGCCCAATTTTATTTCATTTTGTGATCCAGAGTCTAGTTAAGTATAATATTGAAAATACTATAATCCAAGAAAAGAATCTCAAGTAGTATTGGCTGTTTTTTTTAAGGGTAATAGATCCAACTTATAAACAGTATTTAGATTTTACTTATAAGTGACCTAGATAAAAGTTGTGAAATATAGGTTGGTAAAAGACAGAGAAGCGTTGAAAATTATTTTAAAAAAATTATGATCGCTTCTAGATGCATTTATTTCGAAAGAAAATGATAGTAGGTTTAAGTAGTTGGCTATAGGTTATGACTTAGAATTGATGCCCATCGACTTTAGGTGCGAGAAATTATGAGCATTGACAAGGACGTAGTGACAATTTTTTTTTTCATCTTATCTTAAACTTGCTCAAATTATGACTAATTTTATTATATAACATCACATTTTCCTTAAGAACTGTCAGTGTAGTATTCTTCAAAAGCTCACAAATTTTCTTGTAGAACAACTCGCTACTTATTACTTGTGTAAATCCTACTACCATATTTTGAAGGGTGAGAATAAAAATTATAAAAACAACGCATATGAAACCATGTTTCCATTCATTTTGCTGTGTCCTGGCTTTGTTTTGTTTAATGTTTTGGTCACTTTGGCCAAAATAATTGTAGGGAACAATCAAACAGCTTAAACAAGGTTTAATACGTGGTTCAAAAACCTGAATTTGAGCCTGCTTTATCTAGTCATAGCACAAAAAGAAAGACAAATGTAGCCAAATTTACTTGATTATATAACAGCTTGATCCATCGTTAAAAATAAAGCTTGAACTATAACACTATCACACAAAATAATTTTGTTGCTTACATTAATCGAAATACGGAACAAGGAAAATTACCGTATAAATGTTCATTTTAAATGACAAAGAAGTGCAACCTATCAAACTAGCAAGCAAAATTTACTTGTTTCCAAGATTCTATGACATCTTTCCCTTGCTTTCTACAGGTTCTACTGTATCAGTATTCGTCCAAGTATGTGTATAGCATGTCATCCTTCTTTGACTTGCGCCTGCTTAGTAAGGCCTTCAAGAGACGTTTACTTTTACTGGGGTATTGTTCTACGTCCTTGCCGTTGTCTCTCTCAGCAGATAGTCGCATTGAAGATGATTTACGCGGTTCAGAAGGGTACTGGTAGAAACATAAATGGAATGCAGTTAAGAAAATACAGAATTTATTGGTGAAATGCTGAGAATACAACCAAGATTTGTATGACTCACCCTTTGTCTTGCATTAGAAAGATTCGGCGTGATTGGTCTACTTGGATTCGGAGTGGTTGGTCTGCTCGTCTTAGGTGTTGTAGACCTACTTGCCCGAGATCCAGTGCGTAAAAGTGGGAACCGGTAAGGTGAAACTGATCGCCTCTCTTCAGTACATGTAAGAAGATTGTAAGTAGAAATGTAATGAGATCTATATCTTCATCCTTATGTGAAAATGTAAAGAAATATGAGGTACCAAAAGGAAGACATTAGTAATAACCAAATAAACTCGAGATATCATATTATGATGTGTATACAACCTAAATCCTTTTTAGGCATGGTTGAAGTGAATGAAAAAGCTCCAGGTCTCTGAGGTTGTAAAGAAGGTGATGGGGAACGCCCTCTTCTGCATCAAAATAAAGAATTACATCAAGATCCTCATTGAGACAATGCCCAACTTAATCATATAAATAATGTGTAGAGTTAGTTTGTTACCTTGGCATAGATGTTGGCGTTTCTCTAATTGTAGCTCGAACAGCTTTGTAATACAAACATAATAAAAGGAATATAAGTTTATATCTAAGTTTAGTCCCTAGATAGGTGGAATTAAAAAAATTAGGATAGAAAGAGATACCATTCCTAAAGTGAGGCCAGTCATCTTCGTCATCTAGGTTGCAACCAACATATTTTGACTTTGTGCGGTTGGCACCATGCATGGTCTCCCCAACTGAACTTATGAATTCAAGGAATGTGATCATTCAACACCGTAAACATACTTTTTAGTAGTAACGGGAAAAAAATATAATATAAATGGAAAAAGAAAGCAGCACCACAAAAATATGGAGTAGAGAAAAATGTAAGATACTTGCCTGGCAAGATATACCGCTTATGATATTTTGGAGTACTGATCACCAATGACTGTTGGGTACGCCCCTCATGATCCATATACTCTTGGCATGTCTTTATTCTCTAATGTACCATATTACAGAAAAACAACCTTAGTGATCTTCATAAAATTTCTCTTCCCTAATATGATAATTTAAATTTCACTAATATCAAGAACGAATAGTGTTCAAAGCCATAGCTGGAGATGCAAAATCCTGCTTACAAATGAGTGGGGCCAGGTATTTTAATGAAGCCCTAAACAGGAACACAAATTGAGTCTTTTACTCAAAATTTGTAAATAAAATACAGGTAATTCTTAGACAGGCAAATGGTCATCACAACCAGCCAACAACCACAATAACTAAGGATGACAGTTCCATTGATCTTTTGTATTCATACAACTATACTTTTGAAAAATACAGTTTTCCAAAGGGACGTTCACCAACAACCAGTCTGATGTAATAAAACCAAACTACTCTGCAAGTTGTTATTGTACTTGCTATTTGGTAAACAACAAGAATGTACTTTGTCTAGATTATAAAGAGTGTGAGTGTGACGCACACTGAGGAGGAACAGTACAAGAAGCTGGGTTGTAGTATAACTTGTTTGTTTGGTGTGTGGTGTTTGATGCACAACACAAGCAAAATTTTGAATGGACTGGGTACAACCTGACTAGGCTTCACTGGTTGTTCTCAATTGGTGTTGATGAGATTTAGCCAAATTTATGGATACTTTTTACCTTTTACACAAGAAAAATCTATGGATGCTGCAAATCAAACATATCCATCAAGATCATTCAGCAATACTGTCATGATAAAATTAAACAGTATATCAAATGGAACTTCTTAAGAGCCTCTCAGTTAAGACCTAAAATTGTTGTCTCTAAAAAGCTAGCACTTTCCATACCTTTTTATTTATCAATTTTTGTGTAATTGAATGAAAAGGTCGAAGAGTTTGTATATAATGCAGAAAACACTTGAAATAAGTTTCTTTGATGATTACACTAAACATTGAGCAGTAAAAACATTTAGATAACTAGTATTTTATGAATTCCTGGAGTCTTATGAGTCAAAAAGAGGAAAAAAAAAAGCTAAACATGAAATAACTTTTAGCACACCTATAAAATATTAATTCTCAGTTCGACAAGCAATAAAGATTATTTTTCCTATCTCGGCAAATTATGTCACTAACAAGTCATGTTAATCATTTTAATTATTTAATATATGATAGCAGTATCAATTTTTCATCTTCGAAATTACTTTCAGCATTACTTCGGTGGACATTCTTTATCTGAAGCTCTTAGGTATACCTGTTCAATACAAGAAACTCGTAGCTCTGCTATAGAAACTTCAACAACCTTCTCATCTAACAAGTCACTTACTTTATAGGTCACAGAACCTAAATGGTCCACTGTATTTACAAGAGCTTTGATAGCATAATCCTTCAATGTTTCTACAACTCTGCAGACATAACATAGAAAGAGAAAGCAACAATAAAGAGAGGATATAAAGGATATGAGATATCACAATGTCAGCATAAATATAGAGCCATTTTAGCACAGCAACTCACATTTGTTTTTGGTCATCATTGTTGTACGAGAGTTCAAAATATTCGGCCGCTGAATATAATTGTGTTCTCAGATTTTTCAAATCCTAGGAACAGAGATGAATTAAAAAATCACAACACTTCCAATAACAGGGCGTAATTAATTAAGAATTCTATTCTAAACTAAAGTCACAAATGCATTAGACAGTGATCTTAACAGTGAAAGCAAGGGTTCTCGAATCAGGAGAGTTATAGTCTAAAAAGAAACAAATACCCCCAACCAGACAGCAAGTACAAGACCATAAGTACCTTCAGACTATCATCAAAGAGCAAGCTTTGCTGCATAAAAACCTCATCATAATTGGAAGCTTGTTGAGATACAGGCTGGGGGGTTGCAGAAGTTGTGATCTTCCCCATGAATGAAAGTAAAGGAAGAAGGACCACCTTATTCATAAAAGCACAAATTATAAAAATAAAAAAAAAAAATTGTTAGTTAATTCAAATTCAAGTTGCGACAGTGAAGAGGGTAAAAAAAAGTGTTGCCCAAGAAAAAGAAATAGATCAAAACCAGAATCAGTACCCCCTTTTAGACCAAGATAGTGAAAACTAAAAGCTCTTAACAAAACATACAATGACAACAACCGAAGTTAAGAAGACAGATAAAGAAGGAGACAGCCTCTTCACTAACAACTAATAAGATACCGAAAGCTAATTATCTTAAAAAGCATAGTTGTCTGAAATAGTATATATCAGCATACATATAGTGCTTTAAGAAAATCAGCTGCATATAAAATAAACTACTCGGAGACAATCCTACAACCTCAGAAGACAAAAAATTAAACGAAAAAGTAAAACTCCACAATTTTTGCTTAATCTTCACCAATACTCACATTGTATTAAAATCCAAACTAACCCTCTAAATCAAACCCGACCCAATCCTTAAAAACATCAAAAGTTGAGAAATTTTCAACAAACAAATGTAAAACAACAAGGAAGTAAACACGGGTAAGTGAAGGCGGTTTTTTCCATGGCTCCACCAATTAACCCTTCTCCAAAAAAAAAGCTCCCAAAAACCAGTTCCAAGAAACCAAGTTGCCTCCTTTAAGCAGTTAAGATAACAAAATGAGTAATCGGTATACAAGGAAAAACGCAGAAACGAACCTGGTGATCCTTTTGAAGCCGTTTCTGGGTAGTGAGGAGAGAGAAGTAGGAAATATAGGAGCTGAAAGTGTGAAAACCGAGTTCCAATTGCAAACAAAATGTGAAGAAAATCACACTGTGTGGTGTGCCTTCACTCCAGCACTCACCAAAACAGTTAGGTGATGGGTTTTTGACCAACGCAAAGGAAAGGGACAGGTCAAGTTTTGCAACGTGTACAGTTGGAGAGTGTAGAAGAGAGGGAGAAGACAGCACGTCGGAACTTTGCCAGAGGAATCCGGAGAATTTTTTTATTTGCTTCTTCTTTAAATATATAATAAATTCACAAATAAAATTAAAAAAAAATGTGTTACCCGTTTTGGGAAGCTGAAACAGAGTGAGTGGTGGTGACCAGGAAAAGCCCACCTCTCATGATTGTCATCTCATGGCTCTATTTTTAATTTTTATTTGGTATTTTTTTAATTTGAATTTGGAATTGCATGTTTGATTTTTCAAAAAGGAGTAACAAGTACACACAAGGTTTTACTTTTATCTCTCTTGGGGCGTTCTGACTTGTATTTCTCCAAAGCGGATGAGGTGAGACTGACAGGAATAATGCAGATTTTTAAATATACTATTATTCCACATGCAATTTCTACTGTTCTTCCAAAACTTTTTTTTTTTTTTTTAATGTAATGTGTCTCCCACTCTAAATTTCAATTATTATCTTAATGATAAATAAAACTCTCATCTTACAATTTCAAATATGATTTAATATTTTTTCTGAGTTTTTCACACACACCCACTTCCTTCTGCTAGTCATCAGGGATGTTTACCCTTTGAATCTTATTACAAATAAAAATTATAATTAGGTACATTAATATTTCACTTTTAATTTACTAACCATCAGCCTTGTGCATTTGTCTGATCCTTTTTCATATTTTTTTAAAAAAATTCTTTAGTTAAATTTTAAAATTATCCATCAACATTTTATTATTTTCATTTTTCGTAAGAAAACTTTTAAAAATAAATTAATTTTTATATTTAAAAGTAAAAAAAAAAAACAAAGGAAAAAGATCGCTATTTATAATTTTGTATTTTACGGCGGAAGCAGGCGTTCCGAACGGAACCTCCCAGCACAGTTCACCGCTCCACCGCCACGCCCTCCCATAAACTTAGCCCACTGCCACATGCTGCAGCGCAGTGCTTGCTAAAGTTTATCGCTTAAGCTAAGATATAATTGATAAATGATATTTGTCCTTTTTATATAATAATTTTTTGATACAATTCTCTAATTTGATTTTTTATAGCATATAACAGGGTAAAAGCACTTATTATAATTTCTAAACTTGAAAGTCGAGTAATTTTATTTTGCTCACTGATCCAGAGTCTCTTCATAATTAGTAATTTAATAGATCTCCTCCAATTTCCATTACCGAACTTGTTAAAGTAGAGATAAACAAAAAAATTCTAACCAATGTTTTTAGAGTTGAAGTTAAAAAAATAAAAAAAATGAATGTTATTTTAAAATATTTAAAATCTCCTTGTAAAAACTATATATATATATATATATATATATATATATTTTATTTTAAAAGAAACGAGGATGTACCAAAAAACGAAGTTAAAGAGAAGTAGTAATGGTATAGAAAAGGTGTTGGAGCGGGGTGCGTACGGCGGTGGTGGACGAGTGGGCAACCAAAAGGACAAGAGAGTGCAGCTTCTGGTCGTTTTGTCGTGCAGTACACAGCAACAACAAAAGCTCCAATTCAATTTCATGGTTCCAACCCATGCAAAGATAAAGCTGTTCAGCAACACAACTTGGGTTTTTTATTTTCATCTAATCAAAATAGAGTTTTACATTTTCTTTAATTTTATTTGTAAAATATTTATTTTAAAAGTAATTCTAATATAATGACATAAATTATTGATGAAAAGTTAACTTTTAATGTATGATAAAATGCATATATATACAAAACAAATTATAATTTATTTAAATACATTAACATATATAGATATAACCTCGAATTCATGGTCTCTCTCGCTTCTCTTATGATACAAAATAATTATGCCACGAACTTTTCCAATTCATCGTATTCACGATCTTAGCGACAGCATTATGATAATTAAAAAATAGTTTAGTAGATGATCTTTATGAGATGTGATAATCAGCGGCGCGATTTAAGGAATTATGGTGGGTCCTTCACAAAAACACTTTTTTCTTTTTTATTTTTATTTTTGTTGTCAGTTAAGTTTCAGCGGATGCTATGGGATATGAGCCCAATCCAAAACAGAAGCCCAATCTTGCCTTGATTTGGTTTCCTTCAATTAGAGGGCCCATGATTCTTACGACGTTTTTCTGTAGCCCAGGTTTGTTAGATTCGTGTTCATTAAATTTTATTATTTCTTTCGATGAAATATTTTACCTTTTATTATAAAATAAAATAAGAACATATCATTATATAGTGTGCTACTCGAAATTCGGTAGCGTTATTTAACACGTTATAGAGCCGCTTGTTTCGACTTTTGAAAAAATTATTTTTAGGATGTATAAGAAGTGATTTATTTTTTAAAAATTTATAAATATTAACAATTACTTTTTATTTAGTTGTTTTTACTTTAGTTGGTAGTTAGAGGTAGTTTGTTTAAGTCCTTTTTGAATAAAAATGTTAACTATTTTTTTAATTTTTTTACACTATTTGGTTGAAATAATGACAAACATCAGAAGTTAAAAATAGTTCGATTTTAACTTTTTAGAAAAGTTGTTTTGAAAAATTTATGGGAAAAAGTTAAAATTATAACTATCACTAAAATAAAAACTACTTTATAACCAAACAAAAAGTTACTTCTACTTTTTATAAAATCTCTAAAAATAAAACACTTTATATATTTTAAAAACCACTATATTAAAACTTCTCAGTGAATTTTTATTTATCAGATTTTTTTTATTAATTTTTTTACTTAATTATTTTTTATTTTATCATTTACTTTATAATTCTTTATTTTACTACATTTAGTTCCTTTCTTTCTTAACTTTAAGTTCATTGGAGTTATTTTTAGTTTGTGTTAATTCAAGGCCTGTGCATCAGTACTCTCTGTTCCAAACTTGTTTCATTTTAAATAAATTCGCTTACTTCCGCTTCAAGCTAATAACATTTTGCTTGAGCAATTTTACTCTTTTCATAATATGCTGTTAGTTTCTGCATAATTTTTCTTTTCTCTGCATAATTCGCTTAAGTCCTTATTTTCGCTTAAGTCATTCACATTTCACTTAACCATCCAAAAATAGGCTCAAGCCATTCGCATTTAGTTTAAGCGAATACATATTAGCTTAAGCGAATTCAAGGCCTGTGCATCAGTGCTCTCTGTCCTAAATTCGCTTGCTTCCGCTTCAAGCTAATAACATTTTGCTTGAGCGATTTTAAAATGGCTTAAGCGATAAAGTTGCCTGAAAATCCTAATCCTCTGTCCAAAATTCGCTTAAGATTAAATATATTCGTTTGGGCTGAGCGGAGTGATTTTATATTCGCTTAAGCCATGAATTTTTGCTTAAGCAAGGATTCACCAACCTCGCTTGGACTCGCTTTGAAACCTGGATCCCATAATTCTGCCGCTTAAGCCATAAATCACCACTTAAGCAAAAATTCACTTAAATTCGCTTAAGCGAATAACGACAAGAGGGTCATGTTCGCGCCAGAACATGAGAGAATCCATATCCAACATTTTTCTATTGCTTACATGTACCTACTCGTCCAAATATTTATTCATGAGATATTTTTGGTTTATTTGAATTATTCATTTTAAAAATTTATAAATATTAACAATTACTTTTTATTTAGTTGTTTTTACTTTAGTTGGTAGTTAGAGGTCGTTTGTTTAAGTCCTTTTTGAATAAAAATGTTAACTATTTTTTTAATTTTTTTACACTATTTGGTTGAAATAATGACAAACATCAGAAGTTAAAAATAGTTCGATTTTAACTTTTTAGAAAAGTTGTTTTGAAAAATTTATGGGAAAAAGTTAAAATTATAACTATCACTAAAATAAAAACTACTTTATAACCAAACAAAAAGTTACTTCTACTTTTTATAAAATCTCTAAAAATAAAACACTTTATATATTTTAAAAACCACTATATTAAAACTTCTCAGTGAAGTTTTATTTATCAGATAATTTTTACTTAATTATTTTTTATTTTATCATTTACTTTATAATTCTTTATTTTACTACATTTAGTTCCTTTCTTTCTTAACTTTAAGTTCATTAGAGTTATTTCTAGTTTGTGTTAATTTAAGGCCTGTGCATCAGTGCTCTTTGTCCTAAATTCGCTTGCTTCCGCTTCAAGCTAATAACATTTTGCTTGAGCAATTTTAAAATGACTTAAGCGATAAAGTTGCCTGAAAATTCTGATCCTCTATCCAAAATTTGCTTAAGATTAAATATATTTGCTTGGACTGAGCAGAGTGATTTTATATTTGCTTAAGCCATGAATTTTCGCTTAAGCGATGATTCATCAACCTCGCTTGGACTTGCTTTAAAACTTGGATCCCATAATTCTGCCGCTTAAGCGAAAATTCACTTAAATTCGCTTAAGCGAATGACGACAGGAGGGTCATGTTCCCGCCAGAACATGAGAGGATCCATATCCAACATTTTTCTATTGCTTACATGTACCTACTCGTCCAAATATTTATTTATGAGATATTTTTAGTTTATTTGAATTATTCATTTTGATTAATGCATAAAAGAGCACTTCCACCAATTTTGAATCGTAGCAATTGATAATTTCTTGAGTAATATTTATTTTTCTTCATTCCACTTGACAATTAATTGTTTTAATTTCTCATATTTATGCGAGTGTGTAGTAAGAAGAGTTGAAATTTAGCAACCTAAAATCTCTCCGTCTTGTAAACTTCCTCGGAATAAAATTTGATTATTTTTTTTTTTAAATCTTTCGTAGTCCTATTTACACTGCTTTTTCGCGTCTAATGTTGTAAGTATGTTCACATTTACCTTTCATACTTTTATAATCCGCAGCTAAACTCATCAAATATGCTTTCAAAGTTTTCGGTTTAAGTTTGTTATAATATTATACTCTAATGGTTATTTGATAACTAAAATAGAATAAAATGGATAGGAAAAGAGTAGAATAAAATAAGAATACTTGTTATTCATAATAATATTTATATTATTTGAGTAGAATTTCATTCTAAAAAAGTAATTTCTTTGATTATTAATATTCAGAGTTGTCAGCATATTTTATATTTTATAATAATGAAATTAAATTGTTATTTCAAAAAATTACATTTGTTAAATTTAATCATATTTTACTATGTAAAGTCAACCAATATGTGAATTAGTTGGCTAAGTATAGGTCTAAGATGAAGGAACTTTCTTGCAATTTTGATAGAACTCCCTCATCTTTAAAACATTTGTTAAGGCTTAATTTTTTTTAGTTCTTTTTGTACTAGGAAAGGAATCAACTCGGTTCTACCCTCAGGAAAAAGAAACCAAATACATACTCGGCATACTAGACCGGGTATCCCTCGTCAGAATTAAAAGGTAAATAATCCAATTAAAGATAATAGTCAAAATACTATGGGCCACAGTATAAAAGCTGACTCAAGCCCATTAGCCCAATAGAATGTCTATAAAAAGAAGGTAAGAAATACAGGTAAGGGGTTGACTTCCCATCATTAAATAACATTTATTGCTCAGAACCGAATCCTGACTTTATCATCGGAGTGCCTTTTGCAGGTATTCTCCCTATCCGCCAATCATTAGAAGGACTCCTGATCAGAGGTTTGAAGACAGTTGTTTCCCAAGAAGGAACACTTTCTAACCTAAAACTGTAGTCTAAGGATTGTTGTATGTTTGACCCTTTGAGCTCTGTTTATGAGAACAAAAAAAATAAAAATACAAGTTTTATCATATTTAATATTTAATATGAATTTAATAAATATATAATATAAATATGCAAAAAAATAATAAGTATATCATTTTATTTGTATTTATTAAATTAAATTTTATTTTTTAATTTTATATAAGTTATTTATTTTTAATATATAAATAATTTAATATATTTTTATTTTTAAAATATATAAAAATAAAGAGTAGACAGAAAAAGAAGAGAGGAAAGAGAGATATAATATAATAAATTAACATATTTTAATAATAAGTTTCATGAGCATTTGATAAGAAGTTAAAAATATGCTTAATTATATTTTGTTTTATAAATATTAAAAATAACAATTTGTATCTCTCTTTTAAATAGTTTTTTCTCCTTTGAACATAAAATGTCGTGTTATTCAACAAAATGAGAAGATTTAGATCTATATAACTAATAATATTACGATTTTAGAACCGAGATTAAACATTCTAAAAATACTTTAAAAAATATATTAAAATAAAATAAACTACTTATTATGTTAGAGATATAAAAATGTAACATTTGTTGATCAATAAAAACACAGGCTCAACGCATTATCAGTTCCATAATTTAGCTTATGCATTATTTTTGTTTTTTAAATTTTAATTATTTATATTTAATCTTTATAATTTATCGATTGTTCAAATTAAGTTTTTTATTTTAAAATGTTATTCAATAATTAATAAGAGTTTCACGAACATGTGATATATCATTGATTTATATCAACTAATAAATAAAAATATACAAAATAATTATATTTTATATATTTTATTTAATCTGATTATTTAAATAACTTAATTATTTTTACTAATTTATATAAATAATAATATGCCACATTTTTAATAATTTTTGTTAATTATTAAATAAAATCATAGGGTGATAAAATTAATTAAAATAATTAAAAAAAATAGAAGGCTAAATACAATTAATTAAATTTAGCAGGACTTAATATTGCATTTAGGTTGAGGTATAGAAAAAAAATGTAATTAATTTAAAAATATGATATTATTATTTGCTTAAACTCAACTGTTTTTACAAAGGATAATAAAAGTATAAATTGAAAGTAAATTTTTTTAGAAAATGTGATAATTTTTGTCTGATTTTTAATGCATTCTCAACTGTGATTTATATTATTTTGTATTAATTATTTTTAATTAGTTATTTGATGAAAAAAATCTAATTAGTAAAATCCTAAATATAATAAAAATATTTATTAATTTTAAAAAATAAATTATTCAATGAAGTGTATTTAATATTTATGTACCATTTTCGATGAGTAAATAATAAAATATACTTTTTAAAGGGAAAAATATTTTTAAATTTATTAACACGTTGCATAAGTAACTATAAAGTAGTATCCATTTTAAAATATAACAGATTAACTTCTACCCTTTCATATGCACGATTAAAGATTAATTTCAATATACTACTAAACACGTAGATTAATTAGAAAGGAATTTTAACTAAACTTGTCCATCGAGTTTGACGTCCAGTAAATGATATGTGATTTATACAAAAGAAATACACGTGGTCTAAAAAAAATAAAAGATAAATTTTAATATAATGTTTTTAATATTTTTAAATTTTAAATAAATTTGACGGTGACTCTACGATAGTAATTAATAAATTTTAGTTATATAAGATGGTAACATCTTTTAAGTAAATCAAAACAATTATACAAGTAATCCAAAATGGGTTGTATAATGTTAATTAGGAATAAACAAATAAGATAAACGAAGATACATTAAAAGCCACAGAAGAAATACATGAGTACTAAAACTTTGAACGAAAACATTTACTTTTAATTAATTAAGTCTACTTGTGAACTTAAATCTACTTTACTGTCATCATAAAAATTAAAGCATTAACTGCATACATAAAACTATATAAAATAAAACGTTTTACTAGTAAAATATTTTAATTGTATGATGTGATATAATTTACAATGGCGCAACATATAAAAAATTAGGAAAGATGTGATATAATTTAGTAGGATAACATACTTTAAACACGGTGCACATAAGGGGAGAAGAAATTTGTAAAGAAATGCTGCGTCTTTCTCAAAAGTAGAAGATGAGAAGAAATTTGTATATCTATATATGGGGAAAAAAAACACTTGTAACAGAAAGAAAAGCAAAGAAATTATGGTGGGTTGTAAGAGAATTTTTGCTACTATATATTATTATAAGATGGTTAATTTGTAAATTTAGCTAAGATAATGGAGATGCAAGAGTGGATGTTCATGGCATGCACATTTATGTATGTAGCAGAACAAGTTATAGGCGAGCGTGAATGAATGAATAAGCCTCGTTTCGCCCACAAATTAAATGAGTAATTACGTGTTAATGCAAATTCAAATGCATATGATTATGATTATGATGCAGCCCCTTGTATAATTACCATTGAATGGATAGCTTCAGAATTCAATGCCAAAATTTAACTGAACAACACTTGCTCTGAAGAATCGTAACCCCTCCTTCGTCTTAATCTTTTTCCTAAGGATTCATTCCTCTCTCACTCTATCATCACCACCTTTCATGCCTCTCCAAATACACATATAAATACATATTCTATTCTCCCCTTCTCTCTCAAATACATATAAACCCATCCATTGCCCCATTCTCTCTCTCTCTCTCCGATATGGACCTTTTCACCGAATATGATTTCCCCAACCTTGAGATGATTCCTCATGGCTTCAACTATCTTTGCTCTGCTACACAAACCCAAACAGACAAGTAAGAATCTCTTGTTTTTGTTTTACTATGATTATGCTTATTCCTAGAATGATAATGGAACTGTCCTTCGTGACTTTCGAGGTCGATAATGACTTTGTTGTTTCCTTTTGTCTTATGTGACATTTTTTTTCGTGGGTCTTTTTTAATGTACAGAATCATGGAGATTTCACCATTTGAGGGTTTCTTGGAGTTTGATCGTACACCAGAGTTGCCTTACCAAAGGAAGGAACTTTGCTTCAACGAGTTCCCAGATCTCGAAAATTTCAACTTCGATTTTAACCTACCACCTCTAGGTGAAGATTTTGATGAGGTGGACCAGAAGCCACTCAACATAGTTGTGCCCTACAATGGTGAGGGTGAAAGAGGGTTTGTGAAGAAAGAGGAGGTTGTGGATAATGAAGAGAGGGCATTGGCAGTGCCTAGTAGCAGTAGGAAGAAGAGGTCATGTGTGTTGGAATTTGACGAGATAAAGAAGCATTTTGGCGTTCCCATAACTGAAGCTGCTAAGGAAATGAATGTGGGGTTAACCCTGTTGAAGAGAAGGTGCAGAGAACTCAACATAATGAGGTGGCCTCATAGGAAACTCAAGAGCTTGAAGTTACTCATAGATAACGTCAAGGTACATACATACATACATTCATACACGTCCTATCACTATGACTACATTGCCCCCACACTTTCATGCGCCTTAACATTCTCTTTGGATTACCCAATTTTCTTTAATTTGTCAAGAAGTGAAAAATTTTGCTTATCCTTGCATGGGGAATGATGATTTAGAAACTGTGCACATTTAATTGGGAATGAAATCGAGAAGTAAAATTAACGTGAAGAGTACTAATCTTTGTCATTAATTGCTTATTATGTAGCGGTCAATGCGTGGTTCGAACTTCAAAAGGTTTGTTGTGTGTGCAGGAATTGGGTTTGGCAAACGAGGTTGCCATGTTGGAGAAGCATAAAATGATGTTGGAAAAATTACCAGGATTGGAACTGAGTGAAGAAACCAAGAAGCTGAGGCAGGCTTGTTTTAAAGCTAATTACAAGAGGAGAAGATATTTGGCTCTCCAAGCTTGACCATGGTTGTTTGTTTCGTGGAATGTTGCTGATGACAATAAAGAACATAAAAAGAAACAATACATAATAGTATAGGCTAGGACACCATGGTGGATATTATTTTGGTTTTATTCTTCTATACATTAGGAAACTAATTTGACCGTAGCACATGTATTTTTGTGTTCAATTGGAGACTAGGGAGGCGTTTTCTACAATACTATAAAGCCTTTCTCATCTACATTACCTTGATCAATTTTAATGGGTACTTTTCCAGTTATTTTTTAAGTACGATTACTTTTGGAACCTAGGAGGATATTTCATTCTTAAATGTTCATCTGTGAAATGGTATAATATGGCTTATTCTTCTGTAACACGTTTGTATCTTAAAGAAGCAAACCAGCGTGCAATTAACCATAAACGGATCAATACGATTACCTATTTTATCTTTTGCGCCTTTTTTTTAGTTATGTTCCGTAGAAATAACTGAGTCATGAGTCGATGTGGATTCAATAATTAGAGTTCATGTTCAAACTTTAAACTACGAAGCATAACGCATCTTAATATCTTATAACATATTTTAATTCTTGGTTGAAATTTGAGTTTATTGAAGAAAATTTATAAAACATTGATATCAATGCTCCTATTGAAGACCAATAGTGGTTTTAGCTCCCTAATAGTGTTTGTCCTGTGAATATAAGACGGAAATCCGTTTCTTTACCTTTCATTAAATGGGTATTAAATATTGGTAGGGATAAGTGAGATAAGAAGAAAAAAAAAAAGAGGAAGATAAAAAAAAATGAAAGGAATAGAAATGGATTAGAGAAAAACTGGGAATATGTATTGATTGATCAAATAATGAGTTAATATTTGAATTACAAGTATCTGGTTATGCCATTGGTTATTCAAAGGTATATGTTCTACGTCCCTAACAGCTTAATTTCCTTTAGGAGACCCATAACCCCACCTTCAATGGAGCATTTGTAATAATTTAACAGACCCCAACAAAAACGAGTATTGCTATATATCCTCTTAAATAATTTTATTATATCCTTCTAATATTTTGTAATGATCTTTATTATCTTAAAAATACAACAAGCATTATGTAATAATTCAGAGGATTTTTATAGACAAAAAACAGAAGAATTTAGAATTATTCTTTTAACAATAAGTGAGTGCTCGAGATATGCAAGTTATATTTGCTTGATTTCTAATTCTTTTTCTGATTTTCAACTATAATGGTTTTATTGACTGTACAAACAATTAAAATGTGTGAATAGTTTTTAGGTTTGAAACATATATGTAGACTACTTGAGCAAGTGACTAACTATATTCTTTAACTATATTATTATTTTATCTAATTTGTATTAGTTAAACAGAAACAAGATGATAGAATCTCAGTACTAATTAAAAACAAGGATGAAATGATGAATCTTCATTTTACAGGAGTTAAATTAAAAAATCCTTAATATTGTAACCTAATAATAAATAAATAAAATAGTTATATGAAACGTATAAATAAATTTATTATCTATATTTTTAAATCAATCTGTTTAATTTTTATTTCATTATTTAAAATATAAAAATGACACGATTAATTAGTTAAACAATTTGTTTTATATTTCATACTCTAGAATGGAAATAAAAGATTAAATAAAATAAAATTTATCATATTTTATTTCAAAAATATAAACAATAGCAACTAATATCACTTTTATTTTATTGTATTTTATTTCTTTCTATAATATTTTTGTCGACCTTCTATCAATTTAAACATTTTTTTTTGGGTCAAGGAACACGATCAAATCTTAACCCAGCAACTGGTATTTATGTTGTCGATTTGCAATCCAATAGGAAGAATGGGCTTCAACTTAATTGGGCCCACTGTTCTATTGTGTTTTGCGTGCCGACTTTATAGTGCGATAGGAACAGTTTTGAGTAATGTTTCGTTGGGTGTTTCTATGTTTTCACTTATTGTGAGTTTTAATTAATATTTGATAGATATACACAGTAGATTAACACAGAATGAATGGGTGGTTAATTATGTTGCTATTGATTGATACGTGAATTTTTACTTGCAAAATTGAAATATTTGGCTTGTTTGATACATCAAAAATGATATATTAATATGATGATAAAAAAGATGATAGGCTCACATTATTTAATTCTTAGCAAATATGTGTCACACACACACAATAAGAAAACTGTACGATTTAAAGTACAGCTATGAAGACTTTTACAGAAAATGTCTTACTAACTAGTATCTTGAAGACATTAAATAGAGATTTTGGAATGAAAAACAATAGGATAAGGTGTAACTATGTACTGTGGATGCTAGCTTTGAATATGGTGTATGACTAATTGAGTAGTGGCAGTGCAATTGGTGGACTTTTGATTAGCTTTTAGTTAAATTAATTACTGTAATACAAACTGGTGGAAACCATGTAGTAGAAACTGCGTTAATTGGTCAATGGACGCTATGTTCTTGGTCAACACTCAACATGCGTACGTCTCTTAGTCAATGATGTGGAAATAACTTGCATTACGAGTTTATTTGAGACCATAATATACGTCCAACCAGTGCTAGAATTTCAACCCACGGCAATGATATTTTATGATCTTATTGACTCAAATATCTTCATTCTAATACCATTTTAAAAACCAAACTACACATTTTCTCTATTATTATTTGTCTATCATTTACGATATGTTTATCAGATATTTGAAAATTAGATAGAGATAAAACAATATATTTAAGAAAATGATGATTAATGTTGTATTAAAATTTAAAAGAATAAAAAATAAAAAATAACGGAATTATTGGAATAGTGTAATTTAATTATTAATAAATAATAATTAATGTGTGTGTGTCACTGTTAACTATTAAAGGTAAACAAAAAAAAAATAGATATTACATATAATATGACTCAAATAGTTAACACACGTGATCGTATATCCAATATTCATAAATACTGTAATGACATAATCTAAATTAAGAAACGCATTCTAAATAATGGACTAGGTGTGAAAGAAATGTCTACAATGAATTATTTTTAATTGTTATTATGGATAAAATAAAACTTGAAAGATTTATATATATGTATGATTTATATGTACAAGAAGTGTGATCCCTATGCTATGAGAGATGACCATGACGTTTAAAAGAAGGTTTTATTTAAGCACTAAATACAATATTTTTTTTTTCTGGTCCATTTGACACGATTAAAAAGTCTAAAGATCAAACGGTGTCGATAGAGGCCCATTTTTTGTGTGTTGCTTGCGTCTCCATGGGACCACTTGCTTAAAGCTTTCATAAATGCTTGCCTGTATTTATAAAAATAATAATTACATGATAAGATATCAACCTAACCAGATCACTAGGCACAACGAAACATGCCAAACGGAGCAGACAAAAGAATCCAACGGATCAAGAAATACTCGATTACAAAAATTCACTTTTCTTTTTAAGATTAAATTTCAATTAATAATATTATATTTTATTGAAAATTATTTATTATATCTATACAATTTTAATACAATGAACATATTTTTTCAATTTTTTTTAAAAATTAAACTCATTCTAAAAATTTAAAATTAACAAAATTTATCTTTTTAATTAGTAAAAAAATTGGACATAGCAATTTTGTTCATTGTAATTTGTGAAGTTCGGGTAAATTCCGGGTGTATAAGATTTCAACCGAGAAAGTATACCGTATCAATTTTTTTTTTATATATTTTACCCTATTAATTAATTAAAATTTATTTTAAATATAATTTTAAGTGATAATTATTAAACTAATAATAATTTATAATTAGATAACTGTATGTGATTTTTTTTTGTTATTATTATATTTCCATTAAACCTTTACTAAATTATTATAATGGTAATGATATTAAAAAAAATTCTTTCTAAAAGGCAATAAGAAATGATTTATTTTTTTTATATGGTATTTAGAAATAACATATATAAAAAATTAACTATTTTTGGTACAAGAGAGCCTAACATAAAATATAAAAACTCAAAATTTTAAAACACTAAAAATCGTCATTCAAACTGACCAGTGCATATCAAATTTTCTATATTTATATGATTTTTCCAAAGTTTGATATTTTGATAATTTTCTTTAGTTTTTTCATAAAAAAAAAGAGACACAAGAATTTCTCACTCGGAAGAATATCTCAACGAACAAAGGACTTCATTATTACTGTAATTTATAGTACCTATTTTTGCTTTTTTCAGTTCAAGAAAATAAAAATTGTTTTAGAAATTAGACATATTTATTTTATTATTTTAAAAGTAATATAAAATAATTAAAAAGTGTATAAAATATAAATAACGTTAATATTTCCAAATTCACAACGAAAATCAGAAGGCGCAGCAGCAACTCGGTGCTTTTTTCTGTAGCCAGGTAGTGAAAGTCCAGCTTTCGTACCCCAATTGCTGCTGCCCTTTGACTGTTGTAATTTCACCGCTCCAAGTCCAAATCACGGGAAGCAAGTTTCTTCATTATTTGCGTAAGTGGAGGGTCTATTTAGGTTTAGAAAACTAGAAACGGAAAATATTCTTTAAAAACGAAATCATGCACTTTTTGACTAAAAACCATTCCCTTAATTTTATTTATCTAACATTCACATTCAAGAATATAATTAATATCATTTTTGTATTAAGTTTTTTAACTTTTTAATATGACTTAAAATTAAATAAAGAAATAATTAACATTATTTAAAATTTTAAGCTTTTATAAATTTGTGGCATTAATGTAAAGAGCAGTATATAGTATAGTCATAGTCAAACATCACTTTTGGCCATGAAACAAAATGCGTTGTATAATGCATACCTAACACCATAGCTGCTCTGCATTATGCATGATTTAGATAACATCATGATATTTCATAGCAACAAAAAATAGGAAATGTACAAGGATAAAACGGTGATGTTTTGGAGCTATACAAATCAAAATTATAACTTTTAATTTTGTCACGATCATTGAATCCATGATCAAGGATGGAATAATAACATATAATGAATAATAAAGCAAGAAATTTTTCAGAATAACGAACAGTGAAAGAGATGGAGGATGAAGTATCACTTACCCAGAGATGTGATCTTGGCTTAGAAAGAGTAAAGAAGTTTCCTCTTTTGGAAACCCTTGTGATCTTCACCTTAGGCTTAGTAGAACAGTGGGTTGAAAAGTCGAAACTACCCTCGTCGTCCTCCTTGTTAATCTTCCTGAAACCGCTCCACCTGGTGGACCCAAAACCGGAATTCCAGTGCTCCCTGGGAGTCCTATAAGAGGAAGTGAAGGACATGGCCCGGCCAACGTAAGGCCCATCCAACACCGTCGTAGGAGAAGGCCCGTCCATGTTGGACACCTTGGCGTGCAAAAGCAACAACCTCGGAGGCAGCTCCAAGGTTCTAGCAGGCTCCGATTGGGTGTGGCAGTGCCTAGGCTTCCCCGGCGCTTCCTCCCACTTAAAGGGAACAGAAACCGTGGTCTGCGGCGGCGGAGTCCCCGGCGGCATGGTCGGCGGTGAGTTTAAGAGAGAGAGCTTTGTCGGCGCGTGGCTTGGTTCGTGAACACGATCACCCTTGTCTGATTCAGAGCCCACCATTGTTGGGGGTACCTTATGATGAGGTAGTGAAGTGGGTGTGTGTGCTTTTATAGATATAGAAATGTGTGAATGAGTTGGTATAAAGAGAGAGAAGGGTGGTGAATGAACGTGGATTGTGGTTTTATAGAAGAAGAGCTAAGACCAGGTCCTTTGAAAAGTCGTGGAGAAGACATAAATTACGTGTGTTTGGTTTGTAACTTATAGTTGCGGTAGAGATGAGAAATGTTGAAAGGAAATGAATGTGAATGATAAGTCCCACTTCACCCCAATTACAAGGTAACCCCATGAGTCAGAAAAGGACCAGATAGAAACTGCTCAACGTTGCATCGTTTTATAATCAATTTTTATTTTCATTTTTTCTTTTAAATTTAAATATATTTTTCTTTATATTTTAGGAAATTTTTTGTTTTGATTTTTATTTTTTTATAAATTTTTATTTTTAAGCGTTATTGTTGACGTTCTTAAATGTTCAACCATTTAAGTTAATGGAATTAAAAATAATAATTTCTTAAAATATAGAGACTAAAATTAAAATTTTATTTTAAAAATAAAATAAAAATTTGATAAAAGATCAATTTTAAAATTATATTTATTTTTTTAAATTTTTTTTAACTTTTCTTCTATTAACACGTATTATATCACATCATTCATAATAATTTCTTTTCTTTTCTTTTTTGAAAAAATTTAATCTCACTATTTTTGGAGAGTACTTAATGTCTCCCCAAAGTAAAACTAAACAAAATATTATTTATACTATATAGGTATTTTTTTTAAAATAAAATATATTTTTAAGATATATTTATATAAAAATAGTTAAAAATAAAAAGTATAGAATATCATGTACAATATTAATTTTAAATTATTAAAATAATAAGACCAAAATTCAAATAAGCTAGAGTATTTATTTAAAATGTTCATTAAAAATACTCTTTTGTGAAAGTATGGTTGTCTAAAATATAAACAAAATTTAACTCTTTCATGTTATTTAATAAAATTATCTTTAAAATACTCTTATTTAATTCAAATACTTTTAATTTTTTTTATTTTAAGATATGAGTTAATAATTTTGTACGACTTTTAAAATTGAAAAAAATATCTTTTAAACTATATAACAAAATTTAATTGCCTTTCATTAAAATACTAAATGACTGAAAATAATATTTAATACTAATAAAAATATTAAATTATCTTAAGGACATATTAAAAGAAGATTTATTTTTTGTAAAATTAATAACATTAAATAAAAATAAATAATTTTTAATTAACATAATTTAATTATTTTCCGCAAAAAACGAAGAGTTTACCCTTTTATAATCCATATAAAGCCAAAAACGAAACATCCTTTTATTTTTCTTTCGTCTTCATGGGAGAAGGGCCATTATAATCCTATTTATTAGTTATTCGTGTGCAGGTTGCATCTCCCAAATGCTAAATAGCGTATTCAATCTGGTTTGTAGGTGAGAACACTCAAATCATTTCACCAAAAATTATAAGATTATTTTTTATCCACACTGGTTCGAGACTTATCAAAACTAGCTGCAATCTAAACACAGAAAAATCATCACTAAACTTTCCCTAATTGCAACATTTTTAATAGAACCCACATGAACGAATCATGTTAATATCTACAAATGAAAATTATTAGTATAGATTATCTTAATGAAAAAATAAGTTTCAAAGTATGATAACCTGAATTTGCGAGTAACACAAAATAGAGAGAAAAAAGAAAAAGAATCAGTTGTTTATTTATAAGCCTTTATCTTAACTTTTTCTTTATTATGAGTTTAAACACTGTGGACAGTTGATTTATAAGTGCGTGTTTGGTAATGTGTTAAAACATGAAATATTCACGCCCAACCCAATATTATTTTCAGAGGCGTAAACCATTCAAGAAGGTCTCTAAACGTAAAAACAAACGCAGCCTGCATTGTGATTCTCTTGTAACTTGCGATATATATGATATGATATTGCACTGAAATGGAAAGTTTCGTTTGTTTTTGTTTGATGAAGAGACGGTTTTGAATTGGGGAAGCACTTAGCAGCAAGTAACATCGTCAGTAAAGACCGAACGGTGGTCGGCCACTAATTCACGATCATCAAATCGGTCTTAAGACAGTGATTGAGGAAGGCAAAAATGGCTGCTACACAATTACACGGGAATCACACACATTTATTATTATCATTGTTGTTATTATTAATTTTAAAATCACATGTGTTTATTACTTAATGCTTGATAAATCATATAATTTTTCATTAGCAAGTAGTCACTTTCTCATTTATCTACACTCCATTGTATGATAGATCAATGCTTTATTATATTTAAACTTTTTCATCCTTACTGTTATAATAATTTTTTATTATCTTTTTAATTTCACAAACTCTTAAACAGCATCACATTTTGAAATATTTTTACATTATAAAATTATCTAAATTATAATATAAATTCATTTATACTATCTCATTTTATTTTATATTTTTTAAAGTAAGAATAAAATATAAAACATTATTATCTTAAATTTTAAGATGATAAATCATTTAAAATAAATCAAAATGAAAATTCTGTAAAAATATTTTAAAATATGTATAGTATTCGATTTTAAAAGTTAAATTTAAGTAAGAAAACGTGTTTGTTTTTTTTTTTTATGTTTATCAATTAGTTTAATAGTTACTTTTATCAAACGCTTTAAATTAAAACAACTAGCTTATCAAATTTTATTTTCTAAATTTTAAATTTTTATTAATGCTAAGCTTTCAACTAACGTTTTTACTTTCGACTAATTTACTCATAAAGTTTGTCAAATAATCTCCTCTTTGTTACAGTGTTTCCGGAAAGGATTTTCTAATAATTAATAGCTTATTTTATTAGTTAAAGGTTTATTTATAAAAAATATCTATTTAATACATAAGATAACTAAAATAAATAGTTACTAATTTTTTTTAATATTACTTAAACTAGTATTTTTTTAAAACGCTTATTTTCAATTATTTTTTTCAATTATTTTTTTATTTTCATCCTTATTATTTTTTAGTATTTTTTCCACTTCCCATTTAATTTCTAAAATCCCAATACCTCTTTCTCCGTCACGAAATTTATTTTAACAAAATCATAAAATTTTATTTTTATAATGTAAAATTATTAAAACAATAATATAAATTTATTCACGTTATCTTATTTTATTTGATAAAAATATAAGTACTTCAAGATTTTTTAAATTATTATATTGATTTTTAAGATAATAAATAATTTGAAACAAATTAAAATATTAACATAATAATTTAAAAATTATATAATTATTATATTTCCAATTTTGATCTAATAATTGATTATATCCTTAACTGTTATTTATATTTATTACTTGACTCAATAATTAATTTGATTAAACATTTTTAATATAATTTATTAACTTTTAAATATATATTTTTAACTTTCAAGTAGCTTATTCACTCTAGTTTTGTAAAACGCGTTCTTAATAATTTCTAATTGACTTATTCGCACGCTTCTATCCCTTTCAATAATTTAATTGTCATTAATTGAAAGGTACTTATTGCCTAGACTACTTATATTTGTATTTTTAAAATTTTAATCTATAATAATAACAATGTTTATTCAATAGTTTTATGTCTCTTTATTGTTTTATTACATCACACCATTAATCATATTATTATTATTATCATTATTACTTATTCCTATATCTCTTAAAATGCAATAGGTGTTTACGAAACATTGTTTTTATTTGCTATATACTAAATCTTGCCATGTCAAAATAATGAAGATGAATGGACTCTATGAATACTGCGAGATATATAACGAGGTTACGCATCTCTTCCTAATAATGGGTTAGCTACGTATGATTATTATTAAAAATTGGTGAGATTAAAATCGTTGGATTTTTTTTGAAAAACTTTTATGGTGAATGAGTGCAAGGAATTAATGCATAAATTTATCCATCTTATCGTTGCACATCTTTTACCCAAAAAATAAAAAAAGAATCTAAACAAAAGTTCCACCTTTTTATATATATCTATTTTATTTAAAGAGGATGGAGGCGATGGTGACAACTTTTGTATTCTTAATGCTCATACAGACTGCTATTATTATAACACAAGTTGGCGAAAATGAAATGGCAATTAGCAGAGTCAAAGAAAAGTATGGAGCTTTATGGGAAATAAGAAAAAAGAATTAGAATAACTTAAAAGTCAAGAAATTATATATATATTCATGGAGTTGTAAAGGAGTTTTGAAACAATTATTTTGGTCCTTGAGAATCTTTTGAGGTCATTTTCTCAATAATTAACATGCATGTTGAATAAACTACAGGATATCAGAGGAAACATTTTGAAACACTGCATGAAGAGACTCGCTTTATCCTAATATAATGAACGTTTTATGGAGAATCTTAAATAAAGTTCCAGCCAACCAGAAAAAAAGGGTTCAAGCCAACCCAAAAAGGGAAGAAAATATATTGAAAACAAAAGGTAAGGATGAGAAAACACAAAGGCCCTTGTGCTACGCCCTTTTCACTCTTTGATATTTAGTTCTACGTTTGTACTGTTTTTGGAAGTCTCTCAAGGAGTTGAAGATATATATATATATAGGCTGAATTTGCCCCATTCGTCAAAATTTTATTATTTATTAAAATCATATAATACAACAAAATATTAATTAAATTTAAATTAGATGAACTTCATATATTTTTTTAGAGGAACATAAATATGCCTTACAAAGGAGAAGGAACAAGGGAATGGAAAAAAGATGGAACATATTGCAAGAAAATCTGCATGCGTAAAAATTGTGTGTATTAATCTTTTGATTATAATTATTTAAATATAATTTATATTTGTCATTCTTATTTTTCATATTAATCAAGTGCTTTTATTTAAATAATTATATGTGTATTAGAGATTCACTTGTTTTAAGAATTAGTACAGTCATATATTTATTTCCCCTAATGATATTTTATAATCGTTAAATTTTTGCAATCTAATTATTAAATTCAATTTTTTATTAAATAAATTAAATATAATTTTATATAATTTACAAATTTATTAATAATTTATTAACTAATTTCATTTTATCGTATAATATACTTTTATAATATAAACATGAACTATAGAATTACATCTAAGAACATTTGATTTATGTTAATCAGTATGGATAATCACTAAAATAATATCTCATGATTTAATAGTTATATTTATTAATTAAATTCTTATCCTATAAACTCTTAATGATCATATACTAACAACTTGAAGATAGAATATAGTTTTCATTCAGGTGACCTTTGTCTAACTAAAATTAAAATGTTAGTATAAATATTGCAAATATATTTATAATATAATACATTACGTTAACTTTCATTTCTGTTAATATAAAAAATTAACATATATTATTAATAAATTAAATAATACTATAATATATTATATTATTAGTAGAAATTCATAATACTTATCTTAATAATTTAACTTTCACAAAATAAAAATTATATTAGTAAAAGTAATTCTAACGCCTAGCACTTGTTAATTAATTAATTAATTAACATTTATGTATGTACGATGCACGACTTTATATTGCATTTAATGAAATATATTAAATTTTATTTGCATAAAAAATATTTAATAATTTATTATACCTAAAAATTTATTTAATGTTAATTTAATTATTAAAATAAATATAAAAATGTAATAATAATAATAAATAAATAATTTTAAATTACATAGATAAGATAAATAAAATATATTAAAAAAATCACGTGACACGTCTTGTAAAAGATATTTTTTTTCTTATAGTATGTAAAAGATCTTTAATAATGTATAAATAATTTATATAATTAATTTTTTATGTTGTATTATTAATATTATTAAATATTTTTAATTTATGTTAAACATACTTTTAATAAAAATATTAAAATTTACTTAATGAAATAATATTAATTATTTATTTAACACTTAAAAATTAATTGATGGTAATATAATCGTAATTTATGCATATGGCTTGAAAATGCAGTAATAGTGATCGATGGTTATTGCCAATAAGGATCACTTGAGATACACGTATCAATTATTGTAACCTTTCGTTTTCTAATTTTCTCCATCAATGTTACTGGAAACTGTTTATATATAGTGAATTTCCTCCTTCACTGATTTTAAGCAGCTTTTAAATGTTATATACCACCGACAATATTATGCCATGAGTGTAACCTTTAATTAATCACTGATTGGATGCCAAATTCATGGCTTCTAAAAATTTTAATTGCTAGAACCTAATCACAATCGCGTCTAATAGATACTTGTTGCACGTACAGGGAACATGCATGTTGATTCGTAGTGACTACGACAAGCAAGCCCATCTCCACCACTGTGTTCCAATTATCTGATGCTGCAGTTGATACATGGCTTTTGGTGTCATCACATAAACTTTAAGTAATTTGACCCAAAAGAAAAAGTATTTCGAATAAGAAATTCAGTGGATCTTATATAACCTTAATTATATTCAAATTTTGTATATATGTATAGTGTCACCTTACTGTCCTAACAATTTAATTTTCAGCTTTACGTGTCACATTGAAAAGCTTTTTAAAGATGCTGATTTTTTACTTTTTAACTATATAACTACTATGTCACTTGTGCTGATGCACGGATCAATTTATTACAATTGATAAATTTTCCTTGCTATACACACAGAATAATCTATTATTTACGTATCATTAAGATAACTTTTAAGTAAATTATAACAAAAGATAAGTTATGATACTCTTTTTATATTTGAAATGTCAAGGGGAAGACATGAATAAAAATTTATTATAAATCAAAAATATATTCGTAATGATTTAGAAGTAAAAATATAAATTTAAATAAAATGTTTTTCTCGTTATAATAATGAGAAATCAATCAATTAATCACGCATATTCACAACAGCAACATAAGATTTTGGTGTGTAGAAATAAAACTAGTACTAGGGTAGAGTGCAATCCTCATCATCCATATTTATATTTAAATTTATACAGCTGTACGACGTGTTTTCCTTCTCACTGTCATTCATGTAAGTTTAAAATAAAATGTATATTTTGATTAACTCATGAGTTTTCTTTTATTATTTTATTTCAATCCATACAACTTGTTTTTTCTTCATGCCATTGAATTAAACTTAACTTTTATTGAGTTTGGCGTCTTTATACGCATAAAGTAATCCCTCTTTACGATATGCGCCTAAGAAAAGAGTAATAATATTTTCACAAAAAGTTTTTACATAATTCTTACATCAATTTTGTTTAAGATAATAAAACAAAACAAAAATACTGGTTAATCGGTGAACTATTTTTTACATTTTTTATTCAAATAAGTAAAAGTTTTCATGTGTAAATTTGATTTTGCACTTAAGAAGTGTTTTGTGTGTGTGAATAGAGAGTAGGAATCTCATAAAAGAAAAAGTCATTCATAAATGAACTAAATGCTGACTTTAAGTTCCATTACCATATATACCTTTGTCATAAAGAAAACCTAACCCCAGCAGTGGTCCATATCGTTTTTATGTGTATATATATATATAGACCACAACTACAAGATCATATCTAAACAAAACGTGCCAAATAAAGAATGTGGTTCACCTGAAACAAAGCTACATATACAATGCATAATGGTCATCGTTACAATATTTTAGTGGTGTTATATGTATCCAAGATTTTTTGGTGATTCTCTCAGTCATATAATTAGTGACTTCTTGGTTTAAAGTTAAATTTGATGAATTTAATTTTGAATTATTGAATATGATTAAGATATATGTATAAATTAGTCTAAAGCATATTATTTTTGTTAGAATATGTATTTTGTATTAAAATGTATAAGAATTATTTTTTAATTTTTAAAAAATAAAGCTTTATATGTTGAGAAAAGTCCTCAAAAATGTGTTAGAAATAATTAAATAAATAAGAGAGTATATAGATAAGGTTCGCGTTATTACAAGTTGCTAATTTTTAAGCAACTCTTGCACAGCCTATATCACTATTAAACTTGGAAGGAGAAAGTAGCATAGAGAATTATTTTTTATTTAGAAGTAATAGCTGTAAACCTAAAAGGACTTGTATATTCTGAAATAAAAGAGAGTTATGTAAATAAGGCGAGTTGCACTTAAATAATTACTCTAATTAAGAAGGTTATGAATTCAAAATGACCAAATGTTTTTTGCTTAAATAGATCAGTCAAATCAGAAGCTTATTAATACATTGTCGAATATGATCCAAATATATATATATATTGAAATAAGATATGAAAGTTTATATTCAAAGAAAGTTAAAAAAGGAATAGTGAAAGATTAAAAGATCCAATAAAACAAAGACAAAAACAGGTTTCAATAAATAAAGATAAATTGTGGCCAAAGCAAGACTTCTAACTATAACCTTGAGGAGAATAAGTTTCACGTTGTATTTAAAAAAAAAAAAAAAATACCAATTAGAGAACTATGAGTTAACAAATATATCATAAGAGGACCATAATATATTTTAATAGGGAAAGCTTCGGACTCATAAAATTATAAAATGTGCATTGTAGAGTTGGTGGAAGAGAATAATACATAAACTGTCAAAAACATCCACTGCTACCTGAAATAGCACAAGCAATTTTCTTTTCTTATTTTCCTTTTACAATAACTATAATTATTTCTTCTTCTCTCCTTCATAGTGCCGTAGTGCATCATTAAAACAGAGAAACATTGTTATAGGCACAGAAAGCAACAAATAAAAGAGCACTGCATCGATTCAGCATGAAGCTTTTATATTTGGGGGGCCTAAAATTTGACATCAACCCAACTTATCGGCAGTTCAAAGCAAGCAAGCACATTGTAATGCAAATATGCATTGGAGGGTCGTATGCAGAATTAATTGAAGGTATTTGCCACTTAAACAGGACAAAAAAGGAAATTAATGTGTTTGAAACCTCAATAACTCTAAGAAGTTTCGTCTGTCCATTTCAAAACTGAGTTTATATACGATATGTTGGTACAACTTTGTTTATGTCCGGTGAACTTTCAAACACCCTACATTGTTAGGTATACCCTTAAAAATGTCTTGAAAATATCATGAATAAAATTTATATAAAATTATATTTTTCAATTTTTGTTTAAAATAAACATTACTACTATCTTTTTAATCAGCATTCTTTATTTAGATAGTATCTTATACCTCATTTCTCTCTTGAGAATATTTATTGAGGTAGTGTTATAAGCTAAAATATTATTGCTTAGAGAGTAATTTTAAAAAAAACTTACTCTATTATGTATATTTCAACCTATATTTTTTATTAGTGTGTGAGTTTAGAAGATTTACCTTTATCGTACTCAAATTTATGTTAAAGAATAGGAGTATAAACTCTTATTCCTGTGGTAATAAAAATAGAAGAATATTTTGATATTAAATGTAATGATAAAAAAATATCTTATTTAAAATTTTATAAGATTAAAAAAAGTAATTTCAAACTTTTTTTTATAAAAAATTACTAAGTACTTATTTAAGGATTATTACATGTAAAGCAAGCATTAATTTTTAAGTGACACTTAATATGTGAAACACAGTTTATTTAATTATCACTTAGCGACTCTTAATTAACTGCAGAGACTATTTTAAATGAATAATTTTTTTAGGATTACAATTGACAAAGAATAAAGTATATTAAAAGAATGCGTTATGGTTAATATTTCTCAAATTTTTATTTGCAATTTTAGGGTAAGCGTATAATATTGGCAGGAAGAATAAGAGCTGGTTAGCATGTCAAATTTGACACTGCTTAAAAATAGTGTGTGAGGAGTGAGGAGTGAGGAGTGAGGAGTGAGGAGTGAGGAGTGAGGAGTGAGGAGTGTGCATTAATGGGATATGGGCCCGATGAGATTAATATAAAACCAAATACTTTTATATTTCTAAAATGGTGAAGTTTTGCTTCTTAATTTTAGGCAAGTTGTATGCTTTTGTGGGCCAAAAATAAAATATAAAAGCAATGCTGCAGTTTGTGAAGAAGATGAATTGTTGCTTACACTTTTCTTCTTCTTTTTACGATTTATGCTTTTCTTCTACTTTACAGTTAGCAAAGCCAGAGGACTGAAACGATTTATGCTTTGTGGTTCCCTGACAACGCTCAAGAGGGGAACTTATAGCATCACCAGATGCCATAAGCATCTTATTCATGAAATATTTGATTCAACAAAAAGAAATTCCACAAACTATAGTCAAAGCTCATGTGATTAGATCGAGTAAGTTAAAAGCGAGAATGTGAAAATTTTGAAATAAAATTTAGATGGAGCCCTGGAAGTATTGTTAGTGTTTCTCTCCAATTAGAATTAGAGTTTTACTTTCATAATTTGCATAATCAAATTTGCATAAAAGGTCAACACACTAGCATTAAAGGTCAATATATATTATCAAGGTGAAACTTCAACTTTGATTAAAAAACAATACTAACAATGCCTATAGTATTTATCCATAAAATCATTGTACACCAATCTTTTCTACTTCTATTTATGCAACCAAACAAACGTTAAATAATTTTAAAATAAGGGAAATATATCAACTATGAAGTTTATTTACCTCTTTCTTTCGAGTCATAGTATTTTGACATTACACTCTCATAATATATTTATAATGAAAGAGATGTGCAAAAAGAAGACAAAGATCCAATTTAGATAAATTTATAAAAAGTTCTTATAAGAGAAAAATTAGTATAAACAATGAATAACATTTCTCTCATAAACAATTTATTTCTTCAAATTTTAGAATAGTTAAATAAGAGAATTTTTCAAAAAATAGAGGAGCATGAGTTATTTCTAATTTATGAGATAAATTTTGTTATTTTTTACATTGATCTTTGTATCCTTAACTACTACTATGAAACTTTAAGCGACTGGGTCAAAGATAGAAGTGTGAAATAAGACAAGTGCTGTAAAGAAGAAAAATAAATAAAAATGTTGCAAAAAGAAAAATAGCTTGACAATTTTATACAAAAATGACACTTTTTTTTTTGTTGGAGACTGCCCTGTCACGTTGTGGTATGGTGGGCCCATGAGCTCATTCAAGTCAACTAAGGAGACAGGAAAAATCTTATTAAGTTTCAATTCCAATGGAATTTTTGTGTGACAACCATATACAAATTAATGTAATTAACTATAGTAATAAGTATATTATAGACAAAAAGAAAAGACACATTAAGACCATTCTAGGCCTCGGGCAAATAGAAGTTGCAGTGTTACCTCCTAAAACATATCATTCCTTCACGAGCTAGTGTCCCCTCAAGATCTCCTATAATTCTAGCTGTTCTAACTTCAAGACCTCTTTGAACTTCTTGGAACAGATTCCTAATACTGTCGGCAAAGCGCTTCATGTCAATGCCAGCACTTTTCTCCATCTCTTCTGCCACCCCAACAAATCCAGAAACAATCTTTGATTGAATTTCCATCAATTTTTGTCCTGTTGCAACTATGTACCTTTGCAATTGAAATGTCTCTTCTAGGAAGTGCTCCAGTGTTGATGTTTTCTCCTTTGTTCTTGCAGCATTCATATCTCCACGATTTGCGTAGAGGTCATTCTCGTGCTGAAATGTGTAACAAATGATTGACTCATGCTCAACTTTGCTATGCCAAATGAAGTTGGACACTATAATTTAGATCACAGTTAATGCAAAATTGCTCAATTTTTCTATAGAACAAAACTTAGGTGCAATATTCTTGGTGTTTTTCTCTTATTAAAATTGAAATTTCACCATTGCTAACCTTTAATTTTGACCTTTATTGCATGGATTATCAAGGTAAAACTCTAGTCAGAATTAGAGAACAGTACCCAAAAACACATATAGTACTTACATCTAAATTTTGTCCTTTTCTATATCTTAAGTGGGCATTAAAGAAGCCTAAAGGATTAATATGGGTGAAACATTGTTTGTTGTGAGCATATTGTGAATGGATTATAGTGTCAAAGCTAATAAAACTAAAGAATTGATGCTTACCATTCGTTTGCAAAGATCATCAGTCTTCTCTTGGAGGGATTGATATCTTCCAAGTTGTTTATTCAGCAAACTAGTCAAGGATAGATAAGCCTTCATACCAACTTTGCTATCATCATTAATTTCTGCTTGTTCATCATTGGTTTGCTTTCCTGTCAACCTTTCTACAAGAATAAGTTGCTGCTTCAGCCTCTTGATCTTGTAAGATACTCCGAGAGCATGAAGATCCATCTTCCATGAGGACTGTTTTGTCTTACTAATAAAGGGATGGCTGGTAGATGCTATCTTTTCAGATGCATCAATTTCTACTTGTGTTGGACTTTGATTTTGCATAGGAGCAGGCCTATCCTCCCTAGAATCATCTTTTGCTTCTTCAATCTCATTTTCTGGAGATTGAACTAGTAAGTTAGCATTGTTAAAATGATCATGGGGCAGGCACTGTACTTCCTTTTCACATTCTTCCTCAATCAAAGTTTCCATCATTTCTAGCTCACCAGGTTTTTTCTTTACAATCTTGACTCTGGACCAGACAGCATCTTGGGCTACTTCTGAAGATTGAGGGGGCAAATTAGAGTTATTTCTAATGCAATTTAATGGCCTCAACTTTGATGCAAATTGCTCTTTCAGGGAATTCAGTTCATCTTCTCTCTCCAACAGTAAGGTTTCCAATTTCATCTTGTCATGTCTTAAATGAGTCACATCCTTGACCAATCCCTCCACATGTGACTGCAGCTGTTTTGTTTCTAACTCTGTTCTCAACAACTGCCACCGAAATGCCTCTAATTTCTCATCTTTAAGTCTCATTTGTTCCGCAAAAGCATCTAGCTCTAAGTGATGCCTCTGCTCAATCAGGGTTGCATATCTTTCTGCCTCAGCTCGCATCCAATCTTCCAATCTCTTAGCATTAGCAGGAATGGCTGAAGACAAAATAAGAGAAAGGGTCAAGGAAAATAAATGCTCCAACCGTTGAACTTTGTACACTAACAAGTAACAACAAATAAAATCATATAAAAGTTTGAAGAATTTAATCTTACACAAGTCTCCACTTCTTTGCTGCAAATAGTTATCAGAAAAGAGTGAATTTTGGTCCGGTTCTTTTGCAATGTGTGAAGAACCTGTTGAACTAGGCTGCATACCTCTAGCACCAGGAAAAACATCCATCCTTGAACTCAAGTTCACCAACATGCTTTTTAAGGAATGTCTGTCATGTTTTCCTTCTGAAACTGCCTTCCACTTTTCTGTTTCTTGCTCAGCATGCTTCCTCCTAGCCTTTGATAACTTAACCTCCTTTAATAGCATTTGCTTTTCTGCAGTATCAAGCTTAGATTTCCTCAGCATGGCTGACAAAATTTTATCTTTCTGTTCCAAATCCTTGTGAAACTTTGCAATCTCCACAGATAATTTCTGGGACATTAAATCTGACTCCTCCTTCTTCTCTACCAAAGAAGCTAGCTCCTCTTTTGTTGCTTCTAGTTGTTTAACTGCCCGACCGAGCTCAGCCTCAAGCTGCCTTTGGTTTGACACCAGTTCAATGAATGCAGTTTTGTGCTTCCTGAGATCAGAAGAATGCTCTTGAGCTTCACGCCTAGCAGATTCTCTCAACTCTTCTGCATCCTTTTCAGCCTTGATAATCTTTTCTTCTAGCTCCTTCCCTTTCTGCTCCTCTTGTTCAATTTCCTTGTCCCTTGACTCCACCAAATCCTCCATGTCCTTCAATTTCTGATTCAATTCAGAAATATCTGCATCCTTGTTTTTCTCAAAAACTCTCAACTCATTCAATAGAGCACCAATCTGCTGGCGAAGTTTCCTCCTTTCACTCAACCAACTTTGCTCTTGTGCTGCAAAGATTCCCACAACTTTCTCATTGGCTTTAGCATCCTCATGTCTCATCCTTTTCAGATTTTCAATTTCCCTCTCAGCACTCTTGAGCTTGCACTCTCCCCCATTTGGCATTCCCTTTTGAACATTCCACACAATCAACCCCAAGAGCTGAGCACTCCCTTGAAGCATGGTGTCACGGATTTTAGACCATCTTTCAACTTCAACATGTGTTTCTGAGAGGACTTGGAGGGCAAAGAATGCACAAGAAACACCAAAATACTTGGGATACATGCTATCAATATCACTCTTGTTGTCACACCCAATTCTATCCAAAACAGAAATTCCCTTCTCACCCATTACTATGAGATTAATTTCCCTGACCTCTGCAACTGAAAACCAAAGGTTAGAAAACAAAACCACTGAACTAAAAGTCCCACATTACCTTACAAGTCACATGATTCAGACCACACAAATGGGGAAAAGCACAGACCCACTTCTGATAAAACAGATCACAAAATGATTCAATAATTGGGAACCAACTAGGCCTAGTACATTCCTGCCAGTACAATAATTGAGAAACAGCAATACCCGGTGAAATTGATGGGTTCAGTGTGTGACTAAAGCAATAGTTTGCTTAAAACAACATTCAACAGCTTACACTCTCCCTGCTGCAACTCACATCTAAGCAAAAAAACAAGCCACTGAAGGGGAAGAAACTGCACCTAGGCTCATAAAAAAAATATTCCAATGGACAAAATAACTCCACCAGTCACACCAAACAGAAAATTTCATGTAAATGATGTGAAAGGTATCTTGTATAAAAGGTCAGGGAATGCAGAAAATAAGGGTTCTTACACGTGTAAGATTTCATATTTGATTGAAAAGGGGGGTGTACTCTATATTGAATAGAAAGCCATGAATTTTGCTCCCTGGTTTTCAGTGAAAGATTGCCCTATCAACCCCACATGCTCCTTCCTTTCTTTTTTAATTTTTCCCCTTTCTTCTCCTCCTACCACTACCTACCCGCCACTACTCATTCCTCTCTCCATGCCTAAAGTCTTAACCATTTTAGCTAGCAAAAGCACTAGATTCCTGGATGCTTGTCACCATTACTAACAAGTGAGAGAAGCTGAACAACAAAAAGAATAATAAATATCCTCAATCAATTTGGCCATACAATATTGAATGAATATAATAAGACTTGCTTACCTGTATATTGGTGAACTACAAGACATTTTTCTAATAAATTATAGCTGAAGCAGAAATTATAATAATAAAAAAGAGTTGGAAGACTAGACTTTCAAAAAGAGATAAAAATTATCGGAGACAGTACACTACACAACACAGTTTTTGAAAGTGCATGGAAGCAGTTACATAAAGTATATTTTTGTGTTTTCCTTCTTTATATACGTATACATGTACTTGGGTTGCTTTGCAACGTGGTTTACCCATTTTGACAAATTGGTCCTTCTCTTGATTGGCAGTATATAGTGTAACAACATCAATACAAACAACCAAATTAATGACTTATCTGGACCACGCACCTTATCCTTAAATATAACCTGCGATTATCACGTAATTGTTTACATCCATATAGTTCCTTCACATCAAAATTCAATTTAGAAATTCAAATTTCTTGTGAAAGTTGGGACCAAAAGTAAAATATATCTTGCCTTCAGTACATATTTCTCAGTTTGTAAGCAATAAAGATGTCAGAATCATGATGGTTCACCAAAGGCCTAAAGGGTTATGCTTCTCTTCAACTCATTTCCTTTTGAGAGTTGAGATCATAAAAGCAAGAACATGTTAAAGAAAAGCTATACAAAAGGGAACTAAATTATGAATGCCTATGAAATAAGCTTTCTTTTCAACTTATGGTTGATATATTTTTTATTACATTATATTACAGTAATTTTTCACTAATTAATATTATTATTTAAATTTGAGTCATATTATTGACAAAACTCATGGAGATATTATCGATTACTAGACTCATTTAATCATTATTCAATAATTAATAGCAGTGTCAACCAGACATAAGAATCACTATATTTTTATTATTATTATTGGAAGGGAAATGACAATGATTGTTGATGTATAGGAATAATTATATGGTATCATAGATAGTTTTGCCTTTATTATTGAATATTGACATGAGGATGACTAATCGGACATTTTGCAGTAATCAAATAACTGTTTCGTAATTTCGAAAATCCAAGATCCGTTATGGGAATTTGAACTCGGTAATGTCGGCTTCAAAATCTCCAATACATTATAGAAATGTTAATTTTAATTTGATTTTAAAAGTGGTGACCGATGGATGTTGAAATTTATCCACCTTGTTAACTACAATAGTATGACAGCGAAGTGTTAGAATTTTTAGGTCTTAGACTAAGAAAGTCGTAGCCTATGATCCTACCACGGATCTCGATTTTGTAGTGATGCTTATTTAGCGTCCATGCAAATTGATATGATACCACAAACTGCACTGTTGCACAGTCATGAGTGCATGCGCAAATTATCATAGAATTGTGATTGAAACAGACCGTATAACGAAGTTTTGCATCGTCTCAAAGAGTAATTATTAAGGAGTGTGTTTCTTCTATCTCCAATATAAAGGGACAAAGATTTTGTACAGAAATTAATTTCACTACAATGGTATGTTGAAACATTTTTGAAAAAGTAACACGAGTAAAAGTTATACATATTTAATAGAAGAAGAGAGAAACTATTTCTCGTGAATAAAAAAAATCATAAAATATTAATTTATGAATAATTGAAAAGAAAAACTTTCTTGTGATAAAGTGAAAACTTTTTAAAAAATTTTATGCTAATTAACAACAGTAAATGGGTTATTTAAAAATGAATAATAACTAAATACATTTTATAAATTTTTCCAAATCATATTCTTACCATCTAATTTCCAAGAAAGCAATTTTTTTTTTTTTTAAAAATCTTTACAAAACGTTACCTTTGGCTGTATGTAGAAGGTCGATTCAGAGCCTGTCAATAGCGATTTTCTTTAGTATGGGAATAAGCTAGCATTCCCTTTTCAAGCATTTTACGTTACTAACCAAATAATTAAATAAACAACATATAAATTATAAAATGAAAATGTTTTGCGTGTAAATCAATTAATTATATATTTCTAACGAAAGAAAGTGTAAATCAACAAATTCTTATATTTAATACGAATTTTTTATTTAACAATAGTAAGTCATATAACAAATAATAATTTATTAAATATAAATATAACAAATTATAGTTTATTAAATATAAATTAAATAAACAATTTAGATCAAATGCAAAAATTTTAAATTTACATTAATATAAAAAAATTGTCACTTTTAAATGTATATATGAAATATTTTACTTAAAAAAGAAAATTTTCTTCATATCTTAAGTCGACCGACATTGATGCACACTTAAAAATAAATAAATAGTTGGCATACAAATCTTATGTTCACGCCAGGGCCTTATTTCAATGATTAAGTTGACAACCATTAAAGCAAAAACTAGAAAAAAGCTAATTGTCCATGGGAAAGAAAGAACATGCAAAACGGAAAATAGAAGAGGAGGGGGGGATAGGACCCTACTTGCACTCCAAGAATATACACATGTAATCAAATGAAGATCCTGGGATACATAAAATCTTAACACAGACTAACTACAAGTATATCAAAACTATAAATTACGTTATTCGGTTACAATCAGAAATTTATCCCAAGCCCATTAGTCCTAGGGCAGGGAAGAACTCCATTTACCCACAAGGGGTAAGTTTCTTATTTCCTGCACCCCGTGGATTCTCATCCTTCCAGTCATCCCAAGCTCTTGCTTTCTCCTGTGCAGCATCATCATCTTCATCATCGTCTTCTCCTGGTTTTGATTTACTATCTTTGTACCAGGATGAATTGGCTTCTTCCATGAGTCTGACATTTCTCTCTTGCCATTTATTCATTATTTCCATTTCTTTTAGCCCAGCTTCCTCAATGCTCATAGTTGGCAACCTTCCATAAAATATTCAACTTAGCATCTCAAAAAAATGTAAAATACTCTCTTATATTTCCCTATACCAAAGGTTTTCATTAGCCAGGTTAAATGTGCATTTTATTGATAAGGGGAATAATATGTACCTATGACTAGGTTGGAAGACCTGAGCAGCCATTCTTTCTCTCTCAGTTGTTAAGCTTCCATTCACAAGGCTGGCTGGTCCAAATATTAGTGGTTGGTGTTTGTGATCGTGTGCTTGTGAAGCCTTTGCTCTTCCTTCTAGAACATCTTGGGCGAAAGTGGCACATGTGATTGGTGGCGACGGTTTAGTGTGCTGTGCACGAAGTGCAGCATCACGATGCCAAGTTTCTGCTTTCTTGGCACGTTCATCAAGAACATCTCTAGAGAACTCATTATCCCCATCCTGAAACATGTCAAATCACAAGAAACAATGAATAAAATCAAATCTGAGCCAGCACAAAAAATTTCAATTTCCCATTTCTATTTAAAACAGATCATGCCTGATAGAATTATTTATTTATTTATTCTATATTTGCCCTGAGATTCTAGAATTAGCTTGTGAAACATGCTAAGTCATCTTAACAAAGTTGGTTAAGTACTAAAAATTGCTACTTCATAGTTATTCAAGTTTTAATTTTTCACTCTACAACATTCCATAGAGCAATAAAGATTTCCAGCATAACATTAACAATGTCAATATGAAGTAGTAGCAGCAGGCCCATGACCAACTGCCGACAAGGTATAACAATGCTTCATAAAGTATTACACACCAAAAAATTTACTACCTTAGATTGTCTATCCTTTACAGCAGAAAGCATCTCCTCCTCTTTCTTTAACATTTCCAGCAGGTCTAATGCCTGAACATGGCAAGATAAACGTGAGAAGAATGGAATTAGAAGTTTCAACAACTTAAAATGTTGCATAAGTATGAACCAACCTTACAGATTGCCAAAGATATGGTAGTATTCCAAGCCTGGAAAAAAAATGAAAAAGAAAATGAATGGTAAAACAAACCAATATTATTCATACTTAAAAGAAATCTTTACCCTGTAGTCACATACACACACCAACATATATGTGGAGGGAATGATTTATTCGTTTACATGATATAAATAAAAATCACTTATTCACTTTTGAAAAATAATTATTAGAAAATCCATAGGTGGATTAAACGTTTCATCATACAAACCATATATATAAAATCTTATATTACTCCAAAATTATTTAGGACCTCATTATATACAAGAAGATTAGTATGATATACACTATTGAAATATATGAAAATAAGAATAATTTGATTATGCTTTTATTGCTGTTCAATTTTAAAAAGATTTAAAACAAATAATTAAGGTAATAAATAATTATAATTCAGTGGTTAAACTGATAAAAATAACATTATTAATTTATTATATATAAGTTATTGAATAGCATAAGAATAATAAATGTTACACAAATGACACACACAGGTGCTTCTCAGCATTTGAAACAGCCAAGATCCATTTAAAAAATCATAAGGCAGTCAAGCAAAATAGAGGACCACTCCAAGTCTCAGAAACCAAATGTTAATAGCTTATCCCAATGTTTTAAACATCTTCTGTGACTGCTAATTACCAATGCTTGCAGCAAAAGTAAACTGAATTTAAGCCTATCTAATGGAAGGAAAATGAATCATGTAAAAACTGACTTTCAGGGATACAAGAATATAGCATAACACAAAACAAAGCAAGAATAACAGAATATTAGCAGCATCACAATAAAATAGGCGGCAGATCAAGACAAAAACCTCTCTTTCTTCTTCCCCATCATCGTCCAATACTTCTTCCTCTCCTGCCTCAACAGGGGTGGACAGCGCAGCTGCTTTAGTAGAACGCCCACGTCGTTCCTTTCGCTCCTTTATTTCCAACAACTTCGATTCTGCAGCTCTCTGGCGTTTAAATCTAGCAATCTACACAATACATACTTATAGTTCCTGTATTCTATAGAAAATCATGTTATATAATTTAAAATATATACATAGAAAACAGAAGACCTTTCGGGCTCTCTGATCAGCAACAGATTTTGATGCCCCTTCCTTATAAGATTCTAACTCCTCTTTTGGAACCAGCTCCATTGCCTCACAAAATGAGATGAATTCCTACAAAAGGGTTGTCTTTAGTAAGTAGGGATAATGGGTTCAGGATGGTGCATGTAAGGTTTAGGGTTAATGGTTTAGTTTTTAAGCTTTAAACAAAGGGCATTAATTATAAGGAGTATTGCAGAAATTTAGTAAGCGTTGTGCATATTATATGAATTGGCTGTTGGTGGGGGCAGGGGTTTCTTTCTTGGCATCAGCTCTCACCTTTAGTTTCGCCTGGGAAGCCTCTATAATCTGTATCCTATTATCCTGTGCTATTTTTTCGGTCAATTCAGCAAGATAAAATGGCACCTGAGGGAATTATCAAGTGAAATTAGTAAAACAGTAAAAAAAACATATATTAATTCCTCAGTTATCTTCAACAATCAGTACTTAAAAGTTAAAACTTAAAACAGATGCAGTAAATATCCCATAGATGAAGCATGTGTCCAGCTTTACCACACTTATACATATCCTCAGACTTGGTTGAAGTAATCAGGGGGGAAATCCATAGTGATGATATGATTTCTTTCTAAATACTAATTGTTGCGTGTTCCTTAGTGATGCTTGGTGGGAAATACCATATACCACCATTCCCATGATGAAACTTACTCAATAAGAAAATCCACCACCAAATCTACCAAGAAGTTGAATAGCAGCTGAGCATAGCAAGTGAATGCTTAAATGAACTTATATATATTTCATCCTCAGAGGGAACTTAAAAAGAACCATTTATTCTATTAGGGAACAAAGAGTACCCTAAATTACTAAACTGATGCAGAACACCCAGCATAACCATCTATCAAGAATGTACTTCAAACAAGAAAATTAAATAAAACAACAAGAAGAATCCCAGTTTTCAATGTCATATTACCTTCCTTTCTCAACCTTGAAATAAATAAAAATACAGGAAAAGTTAGTTTCAAGTACAGTTTTGAAAGAATCTTGAATAATATTTTTCCTCCTGTTTGAATTTTTAAATAACAATTTCTCATCATCAAGCTATTGTGGAGATAACAATAGTCAACCCTTATCTCACTAGGTGAAGTCAGCTGTCAGCTACATAAATCACACACACTATTGAGTTTGGTCAAAAACTATATTATGATGGCATGATTAAATTTTTTTAAATGTTAAGGTAGCCCAAATCCAGTGGCCTATATTTTACTATAAAGCATTATAAAGTTGATCTCACAACAAATTAAAATTCTGCCTCATGTCTTCCGCTTTGATGGATTAGTTTTATCAGTCTCCAAATACCTAGAAACTTCGCTAACACTATCGCTTCTAATCTGTCACCAGAGAGTAAAAACAAACCCAGTAGAATCTACAAAACTCTTCCAGAGACACGTAAAATTCATCATACATACCACTATTCGTTTTCCTTCACTATGCAAAATAAAATGAAGATGCATAAAATAAGAATACCAAACCAAGGAAACCAGTATAAAATTTATTTCATAAAAGAGAGAGAGAGAGAGCAACAAAGTTAGCGAAGTACCAGAATGTACTTGAGATTGGTGGTGCTAATATCGTCTTTGGTCTCATTGGCAGAGAACAAACCCAGTTTATTGACCATTTCCTCGCACTTTTGAAGGGCCTCGCACCCTTTCTTCACAAGCTCCTAAACACCAAAATAAACCCTAATGAAGCAAAAGAGAAAAAAAAAAAGGTGCTGCATAGGTGTGTGATGCGTACCTGATCGGCTCCGGAGTCGATGGCAGTTGCGTGGATCTTGCGGGCTCGTTCAAACAGCGCCGGCAACGGCATGTCCTCCATCGTTGTTGAGAGATGTGAATTTTTGGGTGAAAAATGGTGTTTGTATGTTGCAAATGAGAAGAGAGATTATACAGAGAGAAGGGTAATAACAAAGTAAATATCGAGAGAGATCGAGAACAGTTGACGAAACAGAGAGAAGGAAGAAAATGGGTTCTTGCCACTTGCACATCAAAAGCAATCTCTCTTTAAATATATTAAACAAAAGTTTTATTAACCATGCTCTTGTAATTACAATTGATTATAAGAATTTTAAAATAATATTTTTTTATTAAAAATAATTATAATCTTTTTATAAATATAAAACTATAATTATTTTTATTATTTATTTAAACTCAATTTTAAAATTAATATTTTTAAAAATTAATTTTATTTTTAGTTTTATTTATCTGGTTAGATAAAAGATGAATTTACTTTATATTTATGTGTCTACGTAGAAATTTAAGCATTATTAATTGCTATTTTTCACTAATAGTCCTTTTTTATATTCACTAATCACTATACTCCTTTGTCTTTTTAAGTATAATAAATAAAATATTTTATATTTATTTAGAATAATTTAAAAAAATAACTCACGCTTATTATAAGTTTTTAAATTTATATCAGTAATTTGTTATATAAGTTATAAAATAAATTATTTTCATTTTACGTAAATAAATTTCATGTTTAAAATTATAACACAAGTTATTATTTAAAATAATTTATATAATAAGCTTTTAATTGATAAAATGTGTATTCGATTGTAGTCTTACACTAATTTAATAATTCAAAAATTAAAAAAAACTACTAATAAAGGATAAATTAAGAAAATTACAAATAATTCAAATAATTTGTGTTTTCAAAATAATAAATTCATGTGTTTTTTCATTTAAAACATACTTTATAGAGTAATATAAAAAAAGTTAACTCCAACTTTTAAAATAAAGTTAAAAAATCTAACAATAATAAAAGTTTATTAAAAAAAAATTCAATATAATTTTATTATTTTAATATAACAATTTGTTAAAAATGTTTAAATTTATCCTGAAAACTAAAATTATCAAAATCTGTATAAATACTATTCAAAGAATATAATAAAGATTAAACTCTCACTTTAGTCTCTAAGAGAATTTGAATCAAGCATTTTAGTCTGAAATATTTAAAATATCATGTTAGTCTCTAACTTCAGACTCCGTTAAGAAACTGCGACAGAAAGTTAAATTGTCACATTAAGTGCTACGTTAAAATCTCACCTGACAGAAATGACGTCATTTTTGGAAGCTGTCGTGATACCTCTAATAACGAAATAGTGTCGTTATGATTCAAACCTTTTTTGCCCTAACTCAATGACATAATTCCTTATTTGTGTCGAAAAAGAACCCCTACCGTAAGTGCACACAGAACCTTGCTCAAATTCTTGTTCAGAAGAGCTTGTTGATTTTGATGATTCTTCCTCTTACTCTCTTTTCTTCAAACACAACCACCTTGTAAACCCTTTTGACTCTGAGGTTGATGATGAACTCTCACTCCGTGCTATGGCTGCTTAGTGCTTTATTTCACTCTCCACGTCCTTCTTTCTTTTCAACCGGTACACGCACACGAAGATCATTGCTAAGATTCCAATGCCAACAATATCTCCCACCACAACAGATTAGCGTTCCCACTGAAGGACTTGAGATTCTGGTTCAACAACATAAAAAAATTGGAAACTTAGCCGGTGAGATTGTTGAAGGAGAGGTCAACGGTGGCATTGCCCAAAATTTCCTCCGCGAATCTCGATGAGATTTTTTTGAAAAATCTATTGTAAGAAATGTTCAAGTAATGCATGGTGAGACGTCCTCGTTATTATTAACAATTTCATCTCAATTATTATGTTACTATGTTCAACTTAGAGACTCTAATAAATTTAACCTGTTCAGTAAACATAAATGAAGGCATATACCTCACACATAATGCACATCTACATATATATAGAGTTGTTGTTCAACAGTAGATAATATAATACAGACCTCCTACCTTTCCTAGGTTATTCAAGTATTTTACAAACTAAAGGAAAATGAAGGTCAGGCGAAAAGATCCTAAGCACTCATAATTTACATATACCCTATTTTTGACTATTTTTGTTTCTTTTCGAGCATATCACTCTCTTCTAGTCATCTAATCCATCTGGAGGAGGATCACCATGAAGGCTCAGGTAAGCTGCTGCACAATACATGGGGTAGGGAATCTCAACTCTAACAGGACTTTGCATAATTATGGGAGCAATATCGGGGTTGTTAATGATAGTAATAGTTAGTATCACACAACTCATAAAGATAATAGTTTAATTAGCATTATTATGGCTCCAAGTTCCTGATCCCATACTAAAATTCATGTTCTGCTCAAGAATAAGGATAATCCCAGCACTCATTCTGCATCCATAACATAGTTAATAGACTCAAAGAAAGAATGAGTAGATCATTCATAAATTATTTCATAAGGAAATACTAATTGCTGAATAAAGATAACCACTACATAACTTATAAATAAACATCTCATAGTATTTTATCTGTATTATTTCTTTCCTCTATGGAGTAGTTAATTATCTATTTAATTTTTTAGGTTAAAGATTGAGAGTTTTGTAGGTGCAATCCAGATAGTGCCATAGGTACAACATCCCAAATAAGAAACCAAGCAATCCGTGCTCAAATTTTATTATGGTCACTCATAGCGGCTTACACTCTAACCAATCTTGATATGCTCTAATGTCTGTCATGATGGTTTAGCATATTTCTCACTGCCTGCAACACAAATTAGCTAGGTTTGATCTCTTGCTAGGACTTTAGTACCTTACTATCTCCTATGGTAAAATTAACAATATTTGCCCCTCACCTGTACCTGGTGTTTTCAACCACTGTCCCTATGAATTGCTTCATAATCACAAAATGAATTCTAGCCATTAATCTGCCCATTGGATATACACCTATCATAATCATTCATCTCTTAAAACAAGATAATCATTCATTTTATGGACACGGCTATTTTCATATTTTTCCATATTTCATGCATCAATTTGTAAAATTCATAACTAATTCAATACAAATCCAAAAATCATGAAATCACCTAGGTTTTCTTTGTTTAAGTGTCTACTTTTCAACAAAAATATGCACATAAATAATTTTTACACAAAAAGTAATGCTTAACTTAGTTTCTTTCTACTACTCACATGATGCCACTTTTTGAATCCACTAAATTGTAAAATTTGTAATAAGTTCAATTATCTTTCGAAACACATGAGACTAGTGATATTATTCTTAGTATTATGTCTATTTTGAAGTAAAAATATTTTTAAATTCAAAATGTTTGCATACATTAATTTGTGCTTTAATTTATCTGTACATGTAACAGGTTAGGATAATTCTGCAACTGCATATTAAAACAATCATAAGTTATTCAATTCACCACCAAAATTCATGAAATCAGTGACATTCTTTCACTTTGCTTATATAGTTTCACAAAAAACTATAAGTAGAAATTCATCACTTTCATATCTCAGAAGTAGTCCTAATTATTCTCTATTGCTTACCTTAACTCACTTCTCAAAATTAGTTAAATATAAAATCATAAATATTTTATTTTAAGTCCAAAATTAATCAAACTAGTGAGGATATTTTCCCTATAGTATCTATTTTCATGCAAAAATATGAATAAAATAATGGCACATATATCCTTAAAAACGAAATCAAGTTTCCCAGCAATATGCACAAACCATTAGTTTCATATAACAACAATTTTAGAAAATCATAAGTATTTTGTTTTAACTACAATTTAAGTAAACTTAATGAGTATGGTTTCCTTATGAAGTATAGTTTTTTACAAAAATATAACTAAAATTACATCATGCATGAATTTTAAGAAGAAAGGAACTTAAAGTGAGTTGTTCTCAGGAATCATTTACACATATCATATTATTCAGAAATTCATATCTATTTTTTTTCATATCCAAATCAAGTGAAATTAGTAAGAAACGTTCCAATAAAAAGTCTATTTTCATAAAAAAAATATATAAAATAACGCCACAAACAAATATTAAAACAAAATTGAATCTAAGATATACCTGATCCTAGAATATTTTTTTTCATTTAGTAGAACTTAGAAAAATCATAACTAATTCAATTTAAATCTAAATAAAGTAAAACTAGTGGAAAAAGTTTCAAAATTTAACTATCTATATGAATAAAATACTAATAACAATTTTTTAAAAGGTTTTCTCATATGTTATATTATTTGCAGTTTAGTCCTTTTACTTTATGTTAATTGCAATGAGGTCCTTTTTCCAAAACTTGAAGAAGTTAGGTTGTTCAGCACGTTTTTCCCTTGCCTTTAAGTCATTGTCTAGGTCTCAATATGGTCAAAAACACTCGTTTGGTCCTACTACTCATATGATTAATTATTTTAAACTTTTTGAAGTCTATTTATGGTCCAATCATAGTATTTTCTCATTTAAAGGTGCAATCCTTCAAATTTAATTCCATATCTTAGTCAAATTCATATGATTCTTATACTTCAGAAGTTCCAAAAAATGTCCAAGAGTCCAGGGTTTATTTCTTAGTAATTTTTTTTTAAATCATTTTCCTTTTACCCTTTCATTCAAAATCATTAAAAATACATTTAAAATATTATTTCAAGTCAAGATAAATCCAAAATATCAAGAATATTATAATAATACAAGCTAACATCTTAAGAGATTTTTTTAGATTTTTAAAAAATTTTAAAAAATAAAAATCAATACAAAAGCAATTATAACTATCTCAAAACCATAAATCTTCTTAAAAATTTATGAAAATTCCTTTTTATATTCTACCAAAGCCTATTCACGAAATTTTTTACTAAATTTAGAATATTTATGCCATATAAAACTCAAACAAAAACTTAGAACTCAGATCATGCATCAAAAGAATATTTACAGAAATAGTAAACAATTTATGACAGAAAACTCCTGAGTATTTAAACAAAACTTTAACAAGACTCTCAATCAATTTCAAGGCATGGATTCACATATAATCAGCATAATATCATAATAATAACATATAACAAGCAAAGTCATCAATAAATTTCCTTCAAAATACCCACTTACAGTTGTTTAAGATTTTTATGCAGAATTTTCTGTTTTAACTATTCTTAATATTTTTCTTGTGCAAGTAAATTTTGTTTTCATATATCA